TATCGTATTCGGATTGTGCGCACTCCACATTCGCTTGCAGCTTCTCCAGCTCGTAGCTGGTGCGCTCCCATTGCTTGTAAAGCTGAAGCAGTGGTTCGGAGAGCAAAGTGTTGTCACCATTTTTAACCAGCACCTGTGCCGTGTCCAAGCCAAAGCCATGTGTCTGACCCAGATAATAATTGGGCACATTCGCAGCCTGGAAGCGAGCACGCACTGACTCCAGCTGATCTGCATATATCTCCAGCACCCAGCCGCACTCCTCGCTAAATAACAGGCACATGTTCACGCCAATTGTGCCACTGACAGCATCATAATCGGTAATGCCAGCCGCTGCCTCCTGGATGTCCAGCTGTAGACCACTCAGACCACCAATGGCCATTTCCAGCAGGCAGACAATTAAACCGCCATCGCTCACATCGTGCCCGGCGAGCAGCAGTCGTTCGCCCAGCAGGCTTTGGGTGAGCTCAAACGCCTCGGTCAGCACTTGGGTCTGTTCCATGTTGGGTGTGGTTTCGCCCTGCTGGGCATAGGCTTGCGCCAGCGCTGAGCCGCCCAGCCGTGCACTGCGCTCAATGTTAATCCAAAGCAAGGCGCTGGCTTTACCTCGTGCGGGCCCCTTGAGATCGGGCGTAACGCGTACGTGCACATCCGGACAGGGTGCATAGGTGGAGAGGACGAGTGTGCCGGGTGATTTGATGACTTCACCATCCACTTTGGCGGCCATGGAGAGGGAGTCCTTGCCGCCATCGATGCCAATGCGCAGCTCTTGGAGCACCTTGCTGAGCGCTAAACAAGCCTGGTACATTTTGTAACCCTCGCCGGACAATTTGGCTGCCCACATCCAATTGCCGGAGCACTTGATGTCCGCCATTTCAGTAATCTTGACAAAGACAAGATTACTGAGCGCCTCGGCTACGCACATGTGCGCCATATTCTGAGGACTGATCAGCCCCATTATGGGCTGCGTGCCAATGGAGGTGGCAATGCCGGCGGTGCTGAAATGCGAGACGGTGGTCAGCGCGTAATCGGACAGCGGTGCCTGCAATGGACCCACACACTGCTGCTGGGCTATCAGGCCGCCCACACAGCGATCTACCTTGTTGGTGAGGAAGCGTTTGCTGCCCACCGCAACAATGCTCAGCACACGCTCCAGTGCATCCGTTAGCTGTATATCGGCGGGTAGCTGGAGCGGTTTGCATGGATTCATTACGGATTTTAGCTCATAGGTGCGCTTGGGCATGTCACCCAGGACATGCGTTAGTTCCAGATCGAATGGCGCGGCGCCGTAGCTTTTACGCGCCTCGGGCAGCAATGCCTGCTCCATGTCATTGGGCGCGGCGTGTTCCACCAATGTGACACGGCCATCGCCGGTGACCACGCCCACAAAGCTAATGGGACAACGTTCCCGGGCGCAAATCTTTTCGAGCAATTCACGATCTTGCGGCTTGCACAGAATCGCATTATTCTCCTGATATTCGGCGCCCCACAGCTCCAAAGCTGTAATGGTCGGATCACCCAGTTTGAATTCCTCCGAGAAGATGATAGCGCCCGCAAAATCTGGCTCAACCAGTTCCTTCAGCACATTACCATTGCCGCCGGCGCCTTGATCGTGTATGGCCAAGATGGGATTAAGTGCGCCAAGTTCGATGCAGGCGCGCACTACACGATTCAGTTTATTCTCCATTTCCGGATCGCCACGTTGCACGGCATTGAAATCGAGCTCAGCATCTCCGGAGCCCTGCACCTCTACGGAGCTGGCAGCGCCGCCGCCGACGCCAATGCGATAAACCGGACCGCCAATCTTGGCCAACAGCTGGCCACGTTTAGGCGTCATCTTCTGGCGCATGGCAGCGGGCATGGTGCCCAGCCCACCGCTAAACATAATCGGCTTCACATACTCCTCACGCGTCTTGGTGTTGGGCTGGCCAGCATTGTATAAGCCATAGGATATGGTAAAACCGGATATGAGTGGCTCCCCAAACTTGTTGCCATAATCCGAGGCGCCATCGCTGGCCTCAATGAGCACCTGCAGCGGCGGTGCAAAGGAGCCAGGATACTTGAGGCCCACCGGCTCATACGGCTGACTGTAGCCGGGTATATGAAGCGCGCCCACGCAGTAGCCGGCGGTGCCAGCTATGGGCAGGCCACCACGACCCACGCCCTGCACATCACGCAAACGTCCGCCGGTGCCGGTGGTGGCACCACTAAAAGGCGCAACGGCTGTGGGCATGTTATGCGTTTCGGCTGTGAATATCAAATCCGATCGGACACTGCGCACTTCCACAATGCCGGGCGCACCGATTTCACGCGGCTGCAGTGCATCATGCTCAAATCCGACAATGGCGCTGCTATTATCGCTGAATTTGATGGTATTGTTCGGATTCGTGTTCCGCTGCGTGTCCATAATTAGGTCAATCAGCGTGCTGGGCAACTCCTGGCCCTCGTACACCATGCGGCCACGGAAGAACCAATGTCTGGAGTGCTCGCTATTGCTCTGGGCGCAATCGAACAGCTCGACCGTGGTGGGATCACGTTTTAGTGTCTGCGAAAATAGCTTGTAATAGAAGTCCAGGTCGTAGTCGCTAAAGGCCAAGCCCAATTCTTGATTAATCTCCTCCAGAGCGGCGCGCCCTTGCGCCATCATTGGCACATAATGCCAGGCAGCCAGCTGTGCCGGCAGCTGCTCATCGAAACTTTCGCGCGGCATATTCGCTGCCGTATACTGGCAATGGGTCATCCGATCGCCGAGCAGCGCCACAAAGCTGACGACCTCACGGGTCGCTGCCCGGCCAAAGGTCAACAGATAACGGATCGAGCTCTCCATGCGTCGCACCTCAGTATAACCCAAATTCTGAAATATATTCACACAATTGGTCGAGTAGGGTGTGGAGAAGTTGAAACGTGGTCCAATCTCCACGAGCATTTCAAGCTCCGCATCGTTTAATTCGAGTCTCGTCTGTTCGTTGAGACTGCATATCCTTTGGAGGGGCTGCCTCACCAGCCACCTCAACAGATGCTCCAGCGCAAGCGGAAATCTGCATATCTCATGATCGTACTCCAAGTGATAACAGCGCTCCATGCGCACCGAGATCAGTTCCGGGTCAAGCGATTGCAGGCGCTGCAGTACGCGCTCCTCCTCGGCACCATCGAAGGCGGCCACATCGTAAAATCGCAGAATGCCCATTATCGATTATCTGGTATAAATTCAGAAATTACACAAATTATATATGCATACGCTAACAACAATTAACAATTCTAAAGATTGTTTCATTTTTAGAGTTTTCACTGTACATTCACGACCTACGCATTTATACCCAAAAGGCTTTTTCGCATTAAAATGAGCTTTAAATCGATCGCATGCTAAAAAAAATCAAACTGCAGTTTTCTTAACTGCAGCAGTAAAAGCTTCTCAGCATACACGCACACACTAACACGCACACACTAACACGCACACTCCCAATCTCTGTTCAGGTAGCAAATGTGAAAAAAGCTCTACACAAAATATTGAATGAAATTCTTCAAATTGGTTAATATACCTTAACGGATGCTGTGCGAGGGTAGTAAAACATACACATACACACGGCATTAACAAAACGCGACGCCGGTTAATAACATTTATTTTATTTCAAAACGAGTTTACACCCACGCGCAGAGGACACGACCGATCATGAAGATAAACGCGCACAGACTAAATCCTCCCATCAAGCACACGTCTATGCTAAGCCTGCATTTACACTAATACACTAGCACTGCTCTGCCCACTCTGTCGCTCACACAATAGCGCTCTCGGCTGTATAGATAAATGTGGCATCTCACTTGCTGACTGGCACCAACTGCAGCGCGCATGTAACGGGATCAAAAGCATCAGCACAAGTGGCGTGTCAGCAGCGGATAAATGAATTATCTCTCACGCTCAGCTAGTGTCCACTTTTTGGATAAAGGCGCACTGCCAGTGCGATTATCCGCGCTAGTGCTGCCACAACATACGCTTAAACATTTCTCTTTAGTGGAGTATTCAAATTGAGTTGATCGGATAAAAATATACATGTATGTATGTATGTATGTAATTGTCGCCTGAAGTCACAAGAAATCGACATACATACACACGCACACAAATATGAACAGCACAATTTGATAGGCAGCGTCTCGGGTTTTTGACAAGAAATATTGCTGCCACGCCCATTTTAACAAAGATTTTTGCCTACTCGTGTTTCAGCTGTTTTTATGCCTAATGCCAATTGCATAATTCTTACTTTTGTTGTATTTTGTTTTTTTGTTTTTGCTTGTACGTGCGTTCCTTAGACGCTTCTCAGCCAGACTGAGCTCTGGCTCGGGCACTGGAATCTGGCGAAGCTGTCAAAGCCGTTGACAACCGGAGCGGTAGCTGCCTACGAGCACCTTGGCAGGGGGTTATCAACCACAGATCAGCGCTTCAAGTTACAGCAGACGCCCAATAGCAATTGCAGTCGTTGCACTGGCGTCACAATTTGTTGCTTGTTTTTGTTATTGTGACTGGAGGAACGCGCTGATAAACAGCAAAAGCGTAAACATATTTTTTTCTTTTGCCAGCACAAACACGACAAGTTATTGCCAATAAAATACAAATGCTAGTAGATTATAAATTAACTAACCCAAATTGAAATACAATAAGCGACGCGCACGTGCACGTGCAAATGAACAGCGCAAAGAACACTGCGACTTAAAGAGAGCGAGCAAGAGGGAGAGAGCCTAAGCACAATGCGCACGTTTTATTAGCGTCAAATTGCCAACTGGGGCTGAGAAGTTCACAACAGCTGTTTAAAGCTTTTGGTTGTTCTGTGTTTAAGTAGAAACTGCATAAAGGGTATACATGATCCAAAGGGTTAATATAACATTTTAAAAAAATGACCAGCTTTCAATAAAAACCCGCATTTTTCAGTATTATTAACAATAAATAAACACAAAATAGATGATTTTTAACCGTTATTATATTTAGTATAGCAGGCACATAAGATACTAGATTTTATATAGCTTTCATAGCGATGACTTTATTTTTGATAAATACTTTGAATATTACAAATTTCCATAGGTACAAATATGTGAAATAATTAGCAAAAACTATTTTGACGTTATATAAAATTGGAACTGGAACCTCATTCAACGAATGTTAAAACCTTGTTGACGAACTGAACTTAAAAGCTAGGCATTGATTTGAACCATGAACCAGCGACAATTTTCTTTTCTTTTTTGTTTTTAGTATTTAATGCCATGATTAGTTGATTTTATTTTGGCAATAGAATGCCTTTTACACTTTGTAATCATTTGGCATATATTCATATATATAATATACATATTTCTTTATACAAATGTATTGTTCAACAAAGCTGCCTATGTTTAATTGTATGTCACGCGCTCATCACTGTGCAGGGTATAAAGCAGCAAGAGAAGAGCTTTTAGCTCTGCGCTTGTGTTGTTGCCGTCGGATTCGTATAGCAACTGCTGCGAATCACATGCAGCAAACATCACAAAAAGCTTTCCGAAACAAAAAGAAGGGAAATAAAGACGCTATCAAAACGTGTGCACTCACACAGCTGCACATTTGGCTTATCTTGATTTCATTTTATGTATGTATGTATGTATGTATTTATGTGCATGTATTCCGATCAATTTAGCGGTCATCAGCGATGATAGTTGGCAGCCAAATAAGCAATATATGCAAGCATATATAACATATTTATATTGAAATAATGAAAAGCGTGTTGTACACTTGAAAATGTATTTTACTTGAGCGTTTTGTTGACATTTATTTAGTGCTCGATTTATGTGGTGTTTTTTTCGATTTCGATTTTTTTTTTCTTTTAATTTTTTGCATATTACAAACTATATGTGTATATATATATATATTTATTTTTAAATAAATAAATTTGCTACTATGCTGGTGTGTTGGTGTTGTCATTGCCTGGCTGCCAGCCTTATCGGCTTTGTACATTGGCCCAATCTAAAAAAAAAACATTAAAAAAAACAACAACGCGCACTTGACTGATAACCATGGGAAAAGTTTCGCATTTCAATTTTTTGATTTTTTTCAATTTGCTTATTTTTTTTTTTTAATTGCTTTACAAAAAATATATTAAAGCAGACGAATAAAATATTTCGCTTGCCTTTTTGCAAGGAGAAAATATTGTAATTGATTATTCTTATTGTTCGTTCTGCTGCTTTGTTGTTGGTGTTTTTGTTGTTGTTGTTGTTGTAATTGTTGCATCTATGTACCGTTTGTTTGTTTGTTATTGTTGTTGTTGTTGCTGTACTACAAAGCAGCGTACCCGACGTTGCGCCTACTACGGTAAATTCCTATTCACTACGCCCAACAGTCCCCACATACGCATGGAGCTAACCGCCTTTTCTATATACATCTATGTTATGTGCATTGCTTTCGCCGCCTTGGCTGCCTGGGCACCAATCTCGTCCATACTCTTTCGCGCACTCTCTGTGACCTCGTCGATGGATCGCCGCGTACTGTGTATTAGTTCGTCTGTGCCGCGTGCAGCCGAATCGGCTATGCTCTTCACTTCCGTATTGATGAGGCCAATTACCCATTCGAGGCCCTGACGACCCTTGCCCGCATTCGAACTGATTGTGGAGGTTAGTAAATCTTCCATATAGTGTGATAGCGGGACACCATAGACAGTTACTGTCGCCTCCTGCTTGAGCAGGGTCTTGCTTGAATCAGTGGGATGCGGCTCATAGTAGAGCACCTCGTCGACACTTATGTTACGGCAAAATGTTAAATTGTTTGTCTTTAAGACCATCTGCTTGCGCTGGGGATCCACTGTGGAGCGTTCGCTGGCAAAGCACGTCTTGGCGGTGCCAATTAACGCATGCGTCCATTTCGGAAAATACCATTTGGATTGAACCAATCGATGTGTGTGTAGCACACCGTTAACTACTCTGCGCTCAACCACATCGGTGCCAATGATTGAGGGTGTCATGGGATTTGGATATTTGCGCCATGCCGCCTGTGTAACCGTCTCCCACGGATGGTTAAAGATATGCTCGGACGTCCAGATTTTCATTATGCAAGCGTCGTTGGCGTTTTCGTCACCGTTCGTGAGTGCGAAATGATATTTATATTTCTCTCTCTCGTTGTTTCGCAATCGGGTCGCGACACTGGACTGCCTGTTATTCGCCGAGGCAACAGGGCAGGATAAAATATAAAAAAAAAATGTATGTGTTTAGGCACGTTTTACAAAAAGAATTTTGAGAAAAAGTTTTATATATTTTTGTGACAAGTTCAGTGGACCGACCTTTACTCAGGTGTTCTGCGAGTAGTGTGACCGACTGCTATCGATGTCTCTGTTGGAGCTTGGTCTATCGATAGTCAAATGATAAAATGTGTGGCCACTCTTAAAACAAAAAATAAAATCGTAAAGTATCGCCATCGTTGGACATGGGGCAACACTGAAAACGAACAACACTCGCACCTGGTATTTCAAAAGTACCAAAAATTATTTTACCCCAAAATTTGCAATACGTAGACAACGAGCAGAGGACTTTCTTCAATTGGACTATACTTTCTATTTTTACGTTTTAATGATATAACCCTTAACATAAATACTAACTTTACCGATTGTATGTGAACCTATTCTACACCAAACGTTCGTATGTAAGTCTCATAAGGACGCGAATCAATGCGTCTAAGGCGCTCCTCCAAAAATTTTCGAAACTCATGCATATCATCCGCATCCTTGACTATTTTCGTCAACTCTGCATTGAGGCAATCCTGCAGCGCCACTTTGTTTGGAATGTGCGTTTCCTTCTTGAGCACTTTTTCCATACGTCGTATGATTTGATTGCGTATATTAAAGTTCTCATAGTCCATGATTTTAGTCAGTGCCTTGGCCGGCGTGCGACGTAAACTGTTTGAGGTTTTTGGTAGCACAATTGAAGATTCAGCTCCAGCTGGACTATTCAAATGGTTTGGCTGCTGCTGCTGCTGTTTCTGCTGCTGTTCGTGTCCATTCTGCAGTTTGTCGCTCTCGTACTCCATCATTTTGGCCAGCGCACGGACAGGTGTGCCGCGCAGACTAATAGTTGAGGGCACAGTTGGTGGCTGTGGCTGATCATGTCCGTTCTTGTCGGTTTCAGGGTCCGATTGCTGTTCAATGTACTCCATTAATGAGGGCTCCTCTGGGTGCGACTGCAAATCGGTTTGCGCTGCTGTCATCGATTGTTGAAAGTTGATCAAATGAAATACGCCATTCGTATCGTAAAACTTATAGCCCAGCATTTCGAGGGCAATTTCAGTAAGTAAATAAGACATGTTAGCGTAGTTTACAATTTAATATTTCTGCTTAAGAAGAAGACGTCTACTAGAGATGAGTTACGCTCGATAGTCAAATCATAAAAATAGTTTATTTATCTAAATTCGGTGTGGCTACATTGGTCCATGTCAGAAACATATGTTTTGCCAACGCTTATGTATTGATGTAAGCATCTACGCACATAGATATGTAAATAAATTTGTGCCTATTACCAAATTAAAGCAAACAAAGCGCATTTTCAATGTTTTTACGGCCCAAACATTCTTAGTTAATGCCAAGCCGAACGCATCAAAATGAAAATCAACGAAAAGAACCTCTGTGTGTTCGCCAGATCGCCGCCGTTTGACATGGAAGGTTAGTTAATTAACGAAAAATATATATATATATGTAAATACATATCTATTATTAATCATTCGCACAGGTTTCCTTAACAAGCGGGGCGAAATAAATAAGGCATTTCAACGACGCTATTTCGTGCTAAAAGGCAATCTGCTGTTCTACTTTGAAACGCGCCTCGACAAGGAGCCGCTGGGCCTCATCATAGTAGAGGGCTGCACCATAGAACTGTCCCAGGAATCGGATGCGGATAATTATTGTTTTGAGATAGCGTTCAATGGCAATCGCACCTATATACTGGCAGCCGACACACAGGAGAGCATGGAGTCATGGATGAAGGCCCTAACCTGCGCCGGCTACGAGTACAAGCGGATTATTGTCGCCGAGCTGCAGCGGCAGCTGCAGGAAATCGAAGACTCACGGAACAGTAAGCGCAGCGAGGCGACTAACAAATATGCTGACTTCATTCGTTTAACCTAATTACTCTTTTTTTTTTGCTACAGAAATGCACAGCGATCGCCGCGATCCCGCCCAGGCTGTGACGGATGCGCCGGGCAAACCCAAGCCGCCGCCCAGACGCCAAAATCCATTCAATCGTCCAGCTCCGCCGCCGCCGTCGCTGCCGCCTTCGGATGCGGCAGCTGCGGCAGGCCTGCGCGGCGGCGTAGTCATGTCACCTATGCCTTTTATACCCGGCTACTTTGGCTCGAGCAATGCGAAAGCGCAACAGGAGCTCCAGTTTCTAGGTAAGCCAAGCCGCATGACGTCATCAGCCGAGTCACTCGTCAGCTGTTTACCGAAGGTTTTTGCCTTAGGCTCGCCGTTACACGGCGCGAACGAAAGTGAAAATAAGCAAAGAACGCGTTATCTACGCAGTGCCGAAGATTAGATACCCTAACAAACAAGCAAATTGTGTTAAATTGCTTCTATTGTAGATCTATTCTATCTTAGTTCGATGTCGATAGGCTTCTGTTCTTCCAACTACAATTAATTTACTCGATCCTAGGCATGTATAATATATTTCGAAAACTTAAGATATCTGATTTAAAGTAGAACTAAATTTTGAACAAATTGTGCCCATTCAAATGGGAAACATATATCATTTGATACGTTGCGGCAACAGAAAGACGAATCTGTGCAAAGTGCCAGCAGGACTTTAGGAAGCGAACTCAAGGCAGGCTCACTTTGATGCCGCTCTAGGTGTGTTACAAATGTGGTCACAAAATCAATATACCCTCGGCGGTAGCGCTAAGTGGAGATAAGCAATCAGTTTGTCATTACCGTTGCAGCCAGCAAGAGCCGTGCTTTAAATAATTGTTCGGCGCAAGCCAGAGGCGAGCTTATCTCAGTTACTTTTGCATATTCGTTCGGAATGCCGTTTTGCGAGCTTATTACAAAAATCTGCTGCATATTCCCAAAGAAGGGCTATAAATTGTTGCGTATTCCAGATAATGGCAACGCCAACGGGAGTCCACAGTCAACGCCCCGGGCACAGCGACGTCAGGCAGCAGCAGCAGCAGCAGCAGGCGCCTCGCCGAGCATCTTCTACAATGATCTGCCCGTGGCTACGGCCAGATCCACAGTATTAGCCAGCTACAATAACAACAATATTAGCAAGCCGATCGATCGCTTGGAGCAGCAGCGACGCGTGGCCAAAGCTGTTGAGGAGTTTAAGCGGCAGCACGAACGATTCCGGCAGATTGTCATGCCCGACATTGTGGCGTATCGGGAGCGCCGAAAACAGCCGCTGATACAATTCTAGAATATGCAATTGTGTATCATGCATTGGGCCTAAGTTTTTAAATTATACAATTCATGTGCTAAACGAAAAATTTACCTTTTAAAATAATATTTATGTTCGATATCCATAATATTTAAATATACAAGAGAAGACCTATCAACTATTCAATTGTTGCCAATACAATCGCATTACATTGAGAATTTGTATGAAGCTTAACCGATTTATTTATTTATCCTATGACTATAATTGTGCGAGATACTCGCGCAGCAGATCGTTGCGTTCACGCTGTATTGCATTGGACTCTTCGATCCGTTTGCTTAGCTCTCGTATGGCAGCGATGCGATTGCGCTCGAGGATTAGCAGCTGTCGCTGCTGCTCCTGGCTCACGGACAGATCGCTGGCATTGTCTGTGGCGGGTGCTTGTGGCTCAACGGTTGTGCTGCACATATCCGCCAGTGCTGTATGCTGTTGTTGCTGCTGCTCTGCGGGCAATGAATCGTCTTCTAGCTTGATGTTGGCGGGCGCATTTTCATTTTGAAACATTTCATCGAATGTGTCATAATATTCCCAGCCAACGCGTTTGCGTCCGGTTTTTCGGAGCGTTTCACGGCATGTTCGATACGTTTTCTTCATGTTGCGCCATTTGCGATCACAGATATCCTCATTGATGCCCTTGAAGCCGGCACGCTCCATGCCATCCACAATCTCTGTCCAGAGGGCACGTTTACGGGTTTTGGGATCACGAAATCTGTGACGCCGCTCCGAATAGAGTTCGACCAGCAGCTTGGTGCTCTTGAGATTCCAGTGCCATTCCTCAGCGCCGACCTCGCATTCCAAGTAATAATGTGTTGTTTCAGTCTCATCGTTGTCCATTTTGTCCATATCCTGGCCTAAAAGCCAATCACTTTTTTGCGCTCCAAAAATAACAATGTTCTTTTGTTGTTGGGCCGCGAATACTAGGGCTGCCGACTACTATCGTTAGCGTACAGGCAAAACTATCGATAGTTGTATTTTAATGAATCGAAAAAAATATGGTATAGAGCTCACTCCATGTGGTATTTTTTATTTTAGTTATTTTTGTGTTGCGAACTGTGCACACACTTCATCCTATTGCTGGTTAGCGTTTTGTTGTTTTTGCTGCGTACGGAACAGGAACGGTATACGAAAAGTTATTAGTTGTATAGCTTGAAATGTAAGTTATTAGCGCGTAATGTAGCCTTTAATTTAGTGATCCTTTAAGTTTCGGTATGGCTAAGCATTACGACTTTCAAGCAATGTTTGATTAGCTACTTGTCGCGTTGTCTTTGTATACGCTGTGTGTTTTGTAAAAGTGACGCCAACATTTCAAATTTGATTTTGAGCCGCCGTTCAATTAAATCATTTGTTTGAGACAGCGGACATTAGTTACCGCCTTATTAACTGACAGATGGATAAACAGAAATATTCATTTAATATGAATTTGTGTGGTTTTTCAATAAATTTGCCAAAGTATCGCAGTCGGCGTTAGCAGCGCATCGGGCTTACTTTGTTGGCGTTCATTTTGTTTTTCCATGCTTGCAAAACCACCACACACACACACACACATACGATGCACGCACACATAGAACGAACAGCGCGTGAGAGCTACGATTAGAGATGAGCGCTTCACATGATTCGCAACAAGACACGGGCAGTAATTTTGCAAGACTATAAATTGTCTTTTATTAAAACTTTATAATTTTTGATGCGCAAAGTAAGAAGTAAAGTTGAACTAATAAAGGCGCAGCTAAAATTTGTTAAAGTTGTAGTGCATAAATAGGCAATTGTTAAAATAAATCAATTATGTGTAATACGCGTCTTGTCACGAACGCAGCACTAACGGCAACCGCTACGCTCTGTTGCGTACAAATTCTGGTTCTGGTTCTCAACGCTTGCTGCTGGTCTCTTTACAGCCGCAGAGAGACAAAGATAGAGAGAGCGAGAGAGAGAGAGAGAGAGAGATAGAGACGCACTACTGCTAATTGAAAGATGTCGGCTAAGCGCAAGGCAGGTGGTAACGGGGCCGGTCCCAACAAGCGTCACCCAAAGAAGAAGGAATCGGACTACGAGGATGAGTTTAGTGATGAGTCTGACGATGATTTGGCCCAACAGCAACAGCAGGCAGCCGGCCAAATGGAGGTGCTAATACCACATGATAATCTGGATCCACCCAGTAAGCTGCCAGAAGATCTACTGGCCACGCTGGAAAAGACGCCGGGTCAGCTGCTGCTGGCTGGTATGGTTACCTGGGATCTAACCGGCAAACGGGATCGCAAAAATGTCACAAAAGTGCGTCCCAATCTGTATAGCTTTCATCGCTTCACGGATGAAAAGGTAAGTCGTGCTGAAAAGTGTGTATTGCAATGAAATGATATTCATATTTTGCCCTTATGCCAACTTGCAGTACCGCTCCGTGGCCAGCGGTCCCACTGCGGCGCACACAATACTCATCAATATGGATCGCAAAGCACTTGGCTTTGGCCGCAATCCCAGCGGTCAGTTGGGCTTGAGTCAGGACATCAAGCTGGTGGAGAAGCCCACAATCATTCCTGCACTGGAACAGCTGAACATTGTACAAGCCGCCGCTGGGCGTCATCATACGCTTTTCCTTACCGACACGGGCACAGTTTACGCTTGCGGCGAGAACAAGTCCGGTCAGTGCGGCGTGGGCAATGCACATCCCAATATCTTTACGCCCACTCCGATTAATTATCGTGGTCCACCCATTATACGCATTGGCTGCGGAGCCGAATTCTCAGTTATTCTCGATATCAAGGGCAATTTGCACACATTTGGTTTGCCGGAATATGGCCAATTGGGTCACAATACGGATGCCAAGTATTTTGTGAATGCCAATAAGCTGTCATTCCATTTTGAGACATCACCGAAAAGGGTTGTACTCTACATTGAGAAGAGCAAGGAGGGGCACGTGACACCCGTGGATGGTGTACAGATTGTGGACTTTGCATGTGGCAACAATCACACGGTATGTGCCAGGATTTTTTATATAGATGCGGCACACTAAACGTTTATGCTTTAATTAACAAACAGGTGGCCATCGACTCCAAAAAGCGCGTTTACAGCTGGGGCTTTGGCGGCTTTGGGCGCCTGGGACACGCCGAGCCCAAGGATGAGATGGTGCCGCGTCTTATGAAGTTCTTTGACGCCCAGGGTCGTGGCGGACGCAGTGTCTACTGCGGTTCAACATTCAGTTTGATTATCAACGAGCTGGGCCTGCTCTATCTCTTTGGGCAGAACAAGAAAACCGGCGAGGCCAACATGTATCCCAAGCCAGTGCAAGATTTAGCAGGCAAGTCGACCTAAGCAACCAAACTAAACCTTTCTAAAGCCCTTTCTCTCGATATATATGTATATACAGGCTGGAACATAACAGCAATTGGCTGTGCCAATACCTCAATCATGATATCGGCTGATGATACGCTGATTGCCTGGGGCGCATCGCCAACCTTTGGTGAGCTGGGCATTGGCGAGTTTCAAAAGTCGTCGACGGTGCCCAAGGAGGTGCCCAAAATGGACAACATTAAAATACCTCAGGTTACCATGGGCTATTCCCATACAGCCTTGCTTGTGGACACCACACACGAGGCTACCAAGCAGAAGTACGAAAAGATGCCCGAATATACTATTGAAGATTAGAGAAATGGGTGTTCTTCAATCCCCCCCCCCCCCCCCCCCCCACAAGCAAGAAAAAAAAAGAAATGATATATATATATTTAAAAAATGAAAAACAAAAAAACAAACACATTAAGTATACCGCTGCCAACAACAATACTGCTCTATATACATAGATACTATAAAAAAAAAACTTGAACTGATCAACGAAACTCTGCTGCTACTTACTGAAAGAAAGAAAGAAAAAACACAAAAAAAAGAAAACAACAACAAAAGCAATTAACTCATCAACATTTTATACAATAAGTTTAAAGTACTTTACTACTCCGAACTTAACCACCACATCCAAAACTTATATCTCAAATATCGTTTGTGTATTTATCAGCTTTACGATTACGATTCATAATTTGGTAATTAGTTATCGTAATTTATTTTCTATTTATGATCTAATTTGTATAATTCGCTGTCTTTAATTTATTGCCGCCCATAATTAGGCTTAAAATTTGTCCAAAACCTCTATTCCAATCAAACGAAAATACATTTTAATATTTATATATATATATATATATTATTTTTACAAAATATGCTGCTTAGTTATATAAGACAACTTCATTTACAGTATTGCATTGTCCATTTGCGACAGCATCACGAACAGCAACAACAACAACAATAACAATAACACGAACAAAACAAATAAACACAACTACAATGTATAATTAAGCGCATAAGTTACACATATAAATATATATACAAAAAAAAAAAGAAAAATCGAAGTATACAACGGAAGGAAATCCAATACAAGTTGCAACTATTAAAGTACATCATGCATTTTAATCATATACAAAAATATTTAAATAAAGAGAAAAAAACATGTTAGTATTTAAACTGAAATTTATTTATTTATACCGATTGGGTGAACACGTTTTAATTGAATTTTAGAAATAAAAATTCTCAAAATTTAACAACTTTTACGAAAAATTATTTTGCCAACAAGAGAGTTTCAATTCGAAGCTATTTTATAACATATTTTTGATGGCCCCAGTTTTATTGAGTATTTATACCCATTAAAAATGGGTATAAGGGTATATTGTATTTGTGCAAAATCAAAATGTATGTAACAGGCAGAAGAAAGCATCTCCGACCCCATAAAGTATATATATTCTTGATCAGCATCAATAGCCGAGTCGATCTAGCCGTGTCCGTCTGTCTGTCTGTCCGTATATAAGAACGCAAGGATCTCAGAACCTATAAGAGCTAAGGACTTGAAATTTTAGATGTAGGTGCTACTAATGCCTGCGCAGATCGAGTTTGTTTCCGATAATCGATAACTTACTGCGTTTCCAAGCAATCGATAAAAATCGACATCGGTTCCTGTTTTTTGACAATTTTGGTAAATAACAAGAGCTGGAGTCACCAAACTTGACATATATCTTCTAAAATAGAATATAAATATGCATTTGATGTTGGAAGAACTCTCCTACTTGTTATAACCTGCCTGATAGTATTATAATTTTGATGAACAGCGGACAAGTCATATCACAAAACATATATTGTATCAGAAGTAATTAAAGAATTGTTCTTAAATTATGAAAATTGCAACTAGTTAATTAAAATTAATTAATTTCGATATCGATCTCGAGCGACCATTGTACTTTTTTGTCATAGTACCGTGTTTTTTTTTGTCCTTTTTATCCCTAATAAGTATATCCAAAACTCGTATTAGCCCTAAACAGAGCGCAGCAGGGTCCTGGCGACTAAATGAAAGCGAAAGTCAAGCACTTGAGAAAGCAAAAAGCTTTCTCCCTGACCCAAAAAAGCTTCCCGATTTCGGCGCCTGTCGGTGTCGGCGCCTCTCGCGACTTTTAACTCCGAACTCTGCTCTCTGGCTGGCTGGTTGGCTTTAGCAAAATTTTCACTGTCACAGAGGACAGTCTTCCGCCGTAGTCCTTTCGTGTTATGTGCGCCATTGAGGAACAATTTCTGCACACCGCACATTGAGTTTTATTTTAGTTTTTTTCCCAACACACACACACACACACACACACAAACACACACACACATACACACATGGACACACACACACACTCAAGCACGAATACGCCAATCCAAAGATTTTTTAAAACAATTTTATAAACGAAATCTACATTAAAAACCAAACAACAAAAACAAAATAAAAATATATAAAAAAAAATAAACAAAAAAAATGTAAAAAAAAAAAATTTGCTAAAAGTGTATTTGATATAAGAAAAAACCAAAACAAAACAAAAATACAACAACGACTCAGACGCGCCCGCTGCAATAACGATATTTAAATATATATAACAAAAGAAAATAGTACTAACTGTAAATTACAGTGCCTTCGATAAATTAAACAACAACAGTCGCTACACAAAACAACAGCAAATAAATCCGTTAGCTTTTTTCATTTTACATGAAGCGCGCAACAACAAAACTGTAAGTTATTACGTATACTCAATGCGCGTGCATGTATGTATGCTGTGCGTATGTATGTGTGTGTGTGTGTGTGTGGGAGTGTGTGTGTGTGCGTTGGCGTTGCCGTTTACTGATTCCACACTAATTGTTATTCAGCTTCTTTGGCCACGCCACGCATTTTTATGGCTAGTAATTATAGCGTCGTTTTTTACACGGCCAATAGGAGTTTTTGTCTCGCTCTCGCTCTCGCTCTCTCTCTCTCTCCCTCTCTTTATGTAAATGTATGTGTGCCGTCTTTGCCCTTGCCCTGCCCACGCACTTTTCATTGTTCGCCGCTAAACTTTACACAAGTTGCCATTCCCGAAAAAGTTTCTCTTCTTTTTTTGGCTTTCAAATGAAGATGGGCCAAGACAACGGTAAACGCTCTCGCACGCACACAGAGCCAGGGCTAACTTGTTTGTTTGCCATTTTGTATTGTGGCAGGCACGAAGTAGCCATAAGACGCCTGGACATTCACCAACACGCTCGCACACGCACAAATTGTTAGCTGTCAAATCAATAAGAACAGACAAAAGCAGCGGGCGAGCAAACGCCATCAAGTTGCTTCTCTTGCGCGCTGTGTATGTGTGTGTGTGTGTGTGTGTGTGCGCGTGCTGTGTGTATCTTGTGCGTGTGTATCCTGGCGGTTTTCTTGTGTCTGTGTATGCGTAGGCGCCTTGTTATTAAATCACCTGTGGCTGACAGTTTTCATATTAGGCCGCAATACACAACAATCGAAGCCATCTCTTTCCATTTCACGCATTACGTATACGCCCCGGATCCTGGATTTTATCTTATTGGCTTCACTTTTGTCCATTCAACCAGCAGGCAGCATTCGGTGTGCAACGTCCTTTTTGTCACCTTTTGTGCCTGTTGCCGACATTTGGAGTGACGTAAATTAATATAGATTCACAAATTAAATTTCCAGGGGTATCTCTTGGCTGGCTGCCCATTTTATTTTGCATTTATTACAAAGTTCCTTTGATTTTTATATATTTTTTATATTCAAGCTACTTTCCGTTAATTATTGATTCTTAATTTAAAAGCTAATCCAACAGGTTATTTTTATTATGCTGCACAATAAAAATACACGGACACACGCATAACTTTACACATGACTTTTGGCATAAGGAAACCGACAATATGTGGACACACACACACACACACACACACACACACACTGGCAGGCCACGATTAAATTAACGCAAATTAAGCAGATTAAGCAAACGTCAGTCACATCATCCACAGCAGCCGCACAATGGGCAGAGAGCAAAAGCATTGACGTTGACAAAAACTCACGCACACAGGCACACGGGCACACACATGCACAAATCGCGCTGAACAATGGCGGCGGCTGAAATGCCAGCAACAACAAAAATTGATACACACAAGCGCGAGACCAAACCACACAAACTGACGCAAGCAAACGCCACACACACACACGCACACTCATACACACACACGCAGACAACAAAGCGCGCTGTCTGCCAGAGCTTTTGTGCACACACGTGTGTGTGTGTGTGTGTGTGTGTGTGTGTGTGTGCGTGCCTTTTAATCATTGCTAGAACAAAACATGAGGGTGACTCATGCCGCGTGAGCAAACAATTACTTTATGGCAAGTGTTGCGCATTGTGATCAAATCTTGAATCACCCTTGCGCCTGATGTTTTGTTGCCGCGTTTAATGAGCTTCGCTTGGTCGTTCGCCAGCTTGTGATAACAATTTCAATTAAAGTTTTTAATAGCTCAGCTTGCATTTATTGCTCCTGCACATGCACACAGCATCATTTAAATGTGCGCCTTGCGTCTTTTCCCGTGCTGTGCTTTAACGCGCAATTAAGCCTCCAGTACGCCCCCGTACCCGCACATTTTGCTGATGGGCTGGCGCTTAAACGCCCGCACAGCAGCCGGCATGGGTTTGAAGGTGACGCCAATCCTTGCGGTTGTTTGTCGTGGGCGCAAAGTGCAAGGTTGCCATTCATTTTGGCTTGGCAAAATGGGGCACGGCGGAAGGAAGCACAGCACTAATCTCTGAGTGCGCCCTGTTCGCATTGCATAAGTGTCAGTGTCAGGCAAAGGCTCTTGTACAAGAGTTTATGTGTGCGTGTGTGTGTGTGTGTGTGTGTGCCTATGTGTGTGAATGTGCATGGGTGCGCATGTAGCTGTCACTTTGTGTGTCCTTGTTGAAACAAAACAAGAATGAATGCAATACCATTTGCTCGACTTGCTTACACCTCGTAATTGACAGTCAAGAAATGATTAATAATATAGCAAAGATGTCGATTTTTAGTAATATTTATTATTTTTGTTTTCCTTTGCCCTTTACCGTTTTTTTCTTATTTTACCTAGTTGAAGCGAATGCAATTTAATCATTTATCACGCATACGTCGTGTTTGTCGTCACAATAAAATGTTGCCTATTTATAGGGGCGCGCAAATTTCACTTTTTCTTAGAAATATGTTGTTTATAAATGCAAAAATAATACTTTATAAATGTTTCGATTATCAATTTATCAATAATGGTATCTACTCTATGCACTCAATAAGTACTGGGTATAAAAGACTGATGATGATGGCATTTTGTTACTTGCTACCTATTTTTTTTTGTTCCTCCAAGCAGCACCAGCACCTAGCACCTTTAGTATGCAATGAGGCAGCCAGACAAACGCATCGACAACGATCGGCAGCGCCAAGTATTAGTAATAAACGAGTTTGATTAAAGGATGAATAGCAACAACCTGCAGCAATGGTGGGAAAACTCATATCGACGACAGCACCAACAGCAACCGACTGTCGATAGCAATATCGATAACGATAACGATAGCGATGCCACTGAACAGCTGCACTATGCGCTTCTCGAGCAAAACAACTTTGGCGGGAATAGCGGCGGCATTGATGGCAATTTTGGCGGTCAATTGAGCAGCAGCTTTGACTACGATAGCTATGGCAACTTTACGCTGACCAATCCCTATGATATTGACACTGGCGCGGATACTGAGCATGCGATTCCATCATTGACTATTCTACTGCTGGCCATTAGCTATGGTCTGGTTGTATTCGGAGGCGTTGTGGGCAATTCAACTTTGGTACTCACCCTGTGCTCGGCTTCATCGGTGCGTTTGCGAAATCCGTTGCTGCTGGCCGTTTGCATTGCCGATCTTCTGGTTACGGGCATTTCAGCGCCAGTTACGCTGCTGAATCTGGCCATGAATCGGGGCACTAGATCTTTACCACTTTTACTATGCAAACTAATACACTATGTTCAGGTAAGCACAAACAATGTTCAAAATGATTAAATATTGTAAAAATCTACACTTTTTATTGAAAACTTTATGTGACCAATTTTGCGCACTTCTTAGGCCGCGTTTCTACTGAAAATAAATCGATTAACACTATTAGAAATATCGTTCTTTTAACAGCACCAACTGAGCTTAACAGCAAAATGTTAAAAGCCCAGGACTACAACTGATATTTTTTGAAGAGGCCAATTTTTTAATTTATTTATTTTTCTTTTTTTTTTTTCTTTGTAAATGGTTTATTTTGTTCTCATTTATATGTAACCCACAGGTCATGCCAGTGGCAGCCAGCACAATTTCCTTCTTCATGCTCTCGCTGGATCGCTATGCCACCGTAAAACATCCGCGCTTGGCTCAGTTGCGACAGCGCCGCTATCTGCACGTCTCGCTGGCCATCCTGTCGTGGATTGCCTCGGCAGCTATCAGCACGCCATTCTTGTTTGCCTATAAGATAATAGCCAAGTCGGTGATCATAAAGGGCGCCGGAACGGGCACAACGCCAAACCCAGTTAGCATAAGCTGCACCTCAGAGCTGGGAGCCAATGCCATGTTCATGTCGTTTATCATCTTTCATACAATTGCGGTATTTGTGCTGCCCGGCGTGGGTGTGCTACTCAATCATTATGGTGTACGTCGCAAGCTCTGTGCACTGTCGCTGACCGCCCGAGCGGCGCACGGCGAACTGCCGTTGCCCATGCCGATATTGCGCCGTCAGACCCACATGGTTATAGTTACGGGCTGCGCGAATGCTCAGCAGGCAGGATGCGGTGGAGCGACCACAGCCGATGACACATCCAATGGAAATGGCAATGGAGGCGGCCAAATTGCCATCAATCCGGGAGATATACAATTGCATAACTTACAGCCATGTCGGCCGGGCTCCAGTGCGGCACTTGAGCCGGGCTCCTATCGCTCCAGCAATCCCATTTCGCCCAGGTAAGCCAATAAGCCCAGCCGAATCAAATGTAGCAAATCAATCAGGGCAATGCAATCTTTCAGGGCTATGCGGGAGATACGTGCTCACTCACAACGGCAGCGCATTTTTCGTGCGGGCCGCGGTCCGGCTACGCCTGGTATACCTCTGCCTCAGACGTCCACATTGCGATCGCGTCGTCATCTGGCCAATATGCTAATTGCTTCCGCCTTAATCTTCATCGTATGCTGGGCACCGCACGTCTTCTGTATATTCTATAAGAATTTCGGTTATAAGCAATACTGCAGCAAAACTTCCGTCTACTTCAGTCTGTTATTGGGTAAGTAATTTCGACTTTATATGGGCTATATTATTTATTTAACGACACGGGTTATAACTAATTAGAAATTATATACAGTATACAGCTTGGATTTTGAAAACACTCAACGTTTCCCATTTGAGTTAAGTCACATTCGAAAACAGTTCCAACTTTCACTTATATGACTAGACGCATGAGTTCACATTCATGGATTTAAGGGCCACGCGCAATCTTTTAGGAATCGCCACCTCTTTAAGGAATTCTGTCTTGCACTCAGTCCCTTCACAGGGAAGATTGGCCAATATTTTCATACATTGCTCGGGCTCCGTTTGGGATGCTGTAGGCCATTTAAATACCCTTGATGGATTATGAGCTGCAGAAGAATTGTCGGAGTAAGCTGGTCAATTGCATAAGAATTTTCCTCAATGAGGCCATGGTATTCCGAGATAAATCGAAGCTCTGGTATTATAATTTTTTTTTTGATTATAGAAGTGATTTGATAACCCAATGAAAAAAGATCCATCCAATTTCATTGGTGCCACTGATTTGTTAACCACAATTTCCATGGCTTTACAAGGCTATCAGAACATGGCATATGCAGCTGTTATTGGGGGTCCATATTTCTGTATATTTATGGGCACTGCCAGTGCTGCTCTTGGAAAGATTTTATCTGGCGTTACTCCCGATATAAAAATAATTGGTGTTGACTCTGGGACTTCTATCAACGTTGCTTTGGACATCTGTGTTGAATTTTAAATGCATGACACGCTCGGTTGGGATTTTCTCCATGGCCAGCTACTTATAAAGTAAGGAATTATTTTTATTCATTTGACATAAAAGACATGAGCGATGATTATGCTAGCAGTTCTTTTCTAACGGAACGCTAGATTGCAAATTCTATTGTCCGATGTGTATGGAGTATATATATAATGCACAGGGACTTAACGAAATATTTTGAAATCTACTCTATTCAAAATATTTTTGAAACAGATTGAGATTACTGAAATATGAAAAGAAATTTTTGGTGTGCCACTTCTAAGAAGTTTGAGTCAATCAAACAATCAGCCTAAAGCAAAATTTCGGTTAAAGCACGTACATGTTATGCTGTAACAACCTTGAGAGATGTGAATTTGTAAAGAAAGCCAGCAATTGCCTAACCGGTACGAACATCGTGCCATATATGCACTTATTGGCATGCGATCTAAAATGATTGCCTATTTCTCGATTATATGCTTCGAGTTGCTGCTATGCCTCGCCTATGTGGTGCATTATTATTATAGTCCAGCATTGAAAGACGTTTCCCGAATGCTGCACATGAGCGAACATCTGGCTGGGGTGACAATATTGGCATTTGGCATTTGTTTAGAGACAAATCGAAGTTCTGGTATTACAATATACCGAATGCTTTCATGTACGGCGTCTACTCCCTGGTAATAACGGTGCCGCTGGCCATCTTTGTGATGATTCACTCAAGAACTGGGTGTCCGCCGAGCTATCACTGGATTTATGTGATAATTAATTTTAACTGGATCCATGTTTATTGCATTCCAGTGTGCGACAGAAATATCATTGATAATGAATATGATTAGTAGCATATACAAAGTTCCGACCGATTTCATGAGCGTGCTTCCCATTGCCACCGCTCTGAGCCAGCTTCTGGCGAGTGTTTCCTTGGCTTTGCAGGGATATGAGAAAATGGCGTACGCAGCAACCATTGGTAGAGCCTATCTAAATGTTATAATGAACACTACCATAGAATTTTTCGCCAAGAGGCTAATTGGCAAAAATTTGACTTACGAAAGTGTTACTGGAACCTACGGCGAGAATGCGTATATAATGTTGATTTTAGGACTTGCTACAACGTTGTTGTGGACATTGATATTGAATTTTAATTCACGACGCTCGGTTGGCATATTCTCCATGTCCATCTACGTTCTCTTCCTTATATTCGCTATACTTATAAAGTCTGGAACTATTCATGCATTCAATAAGGACGTCATTTTAGCGGATTTCCGTTGAAGTTAACAATTGAATTTCTTCTAAAAGCAAACAAAAAAATAGTATTTAAATAATAAATGTGTACACGAATATGTCTTAATAATTTATGAACATTTTACAAATTAAATTGATAAATAGCCCTTTTAGATCCAAACGCTTTTAGAATTTTATAGTAAGGGGATCTGTTTTGCAGTCTAGAATGAGTGGGTGGGAAGGAGCTGAATATATTCTTAAGAATATTGATTTGATTTGATTTTGATCTTTATATAATATTTTTTATCTTACCACAACTAGCCTGGTTTATATCTCATATAATTATGTATCCTTTTTCGGATAAGCACAGACTAGTTTTGTCCACAACTTTCAAGTATACGAAAAATTTGATTATTTTCGAAAAACAATCAGGTGATCTTTTTGTTTTTTGCTGTTTGGACAATGTTTTAAAGTCATCATATTCAGTAGACATTATATTTTAAACGCAACACAAAGTTTAAACACACATAGTTCAATATTCAAAAACAGAAAAACAATAATACACATACCCATATACTTAAGATCATGGCCGAAATCTATAAACCAAATACTTTGGATAAAGAATTCCGCGAGTTTTGGTCAAAAGTCAATTGTCTTACTGTGTTGGACTTTCCGTATGACCAAAGATGCGATTTTGTGAGAAGTGCAAATAACTGCGTATATGGCACGAACTTCGTCCCGTATATGCATTTATTGGCATGCGATTTCAGATGCAAAAACCTGTTCGAGGAGCACATCTTTGTGACCCTCTTCCTGATCCTATGTTTCGAATTGCTGCTCTTCCTGAGCCATGTGGTACGGTTATATTACACTCCGGCGTTGAAGGCAGTTTCTCGAATGCTTCATATGAACGAGCATCTGGCTGGCGTGACGATCATGGCACTTGGCAATACACTACCAGATATGTTTGCCAATATGTGTGCTATTTATGACGATGTACCCATCTTTGGCAATTGCCTTTCTTCGGCATTATTTGTAACTATGTTCACTGGGGGATTGGTATGCTATCTCAGTCCGTTTCAAATGAGTGCTTATAATACCGTACGCGATCTACTCTTCTTTATCTTTGGCATAATGCTGTTGGAGTTTTGCATAATCAGAGAACAAGGGATTACAATTGCTGAGTGCATCATAATGATAACGCTGTACGCCATATATATAACTGTCAACGTGCTCGATGTGTATTTCTTGAAACGTACCCTAAAATGTAAGTAACGAGTTTTCTGAATTGTAACTTTGCTTGGCTTAAATCTATTCGCTTTTCGTAGCTTTGAGACGCGAAATCGACGCACTGTACGAATTGCCAGTGTCAGAAGAAGTAAAAGAAAAGCGCTCGACAGTACAAAAAAAATATGACCTCCTTTCCCAGAATAATCGCGTAACAATATTGCAGCGCAAATCAAACTCTGACAATACTGGAACATTTGGGTATATGACAAAAGTCGGAAATGTACGTGTCACAATTGACATGGAAGCCAATCGCAATATGCATTACACCAGGGCCTCAAGCAAGAATCACCGTCTCTTTCAGGAATTCTTCTCTGCAATCCTGCCCATTAAAATGAATGAATGGCGCCAGGCGACCATGTTACTTCGCGCCTACTATATTGCTCGGGCCCCAGTTGTATTTATTAGTGTCATTTATATACCCTTGGTGGATTACGAGCTGCAGAAGAATGGCTGGAGTAAGCTGCTCAACTGCATACAAATTTTCCTTAACCCAGCGGTTACAATCACAATGGGCAAGGCCATGGTATTCAGAGATAGGTCCAAGCTCTGGTATTATAATATACCACATGACGTTCAATACGGCCTTTACTCCTTGGTGGTAACAGTGCCCATAGCCATAGTTGTGTTTTTCCACTCAAACACCAGTGCCCCGCCGCCATATCACTGGATGTTTACAATTATGAATCTTACTGGATCCATGTTTGCGATATTCCAAAGTGCCACCGAAATAACGGTGATAACAGGGGTCCTTGGCTTTATGTTAAAAGTTCCTCCTGATTTTATGGGTGCCACTGTTTTATGCGTCGCCAACTCTCTAGGCGATCTTGTAGCAAATGCATCAATGGCTTTGCAGGGGTATGAAAAAATGGCATATGCAGCAGCTATCGGAAGTCCATTCTTTTCCATTCTTCTGGGTACAGGCAGTGTGTTTGCTGTTAAGATTTATTTAGGCCTTACTTCATCAATGCATAATTTGATTGGATCATATGGGGAAAATGCATATGTCCTATTGATATTGGGTCTCTTATCAACGCTTCTATGGACATCGGTGTTGAATTTTAATGCCCGTCGCTCGATGGGGATTTTCTCCATGTCCATCTATGGTCTGTACATCATATTTAGCATTCTTATTAGATTTCGAATAATCCACCCATACAATGTCGATGCATTTCTCAGCGATTCTCATGAAATTAATTAAACAAATTATAAGTTGACAAAATAACTTACACTACGCTAGCTCAACAATGTATACACATATGTAATCGAAAAACTGTAAGGACTTTAAAATATAGCTGTTATTTTTTACGCACCACTTGCCACCGTCTCTATCCAATAACAGAATCTTATTTAAAAAAAAAAACGAATTAAAATCGCCGAACAGAAAACAATACAATCGCAATTGCAATGCTGTTCATAGAATTCGAAGCAGAGGCGCATTAATGTGTGTGTATATGTATACAGAAATTCTTGGAATCTGCGCTAACGACCGCAAACATACAAACATACATTTGCACAAATACATTATTTTGGTATTTCTTCAAACAATTGTTTTTCATTTCATGCAGTTAGCAAACAAGTTTGCAAACTTTGCAAAATGTGTCGGATGAAGTTGAACCGAATATATCATTTGAACAGGACGATGCCGGTTAATTGACTCTATTACTTATTTATTAATGGTAGATAAACACGCGTGTCTTAAAATTACTAATAATTAACTTACTATATTATTTAAGAAAATACAATAAATAGGAACAAAAATGAAAGGTTTTAAAAAAGTTAAGGGATTCATACATGATATTTACTTATAGCTAGGGATGGTCAGTTAGTTCCCTCAGGTATCCCGAAAGCCACAATTTCGAGTTTTATAAACTAAATCAGGTGCTCTTTTTATTTTATCTCTGTTCTAGGTATGATTTTAAAATTCAATTTTAAACGGAACACAACACATGTTGAAATAAAACACAGTACAAGTTCACTTACCTAAACACATAAGATAATGGCCAACATGTATAAACCAAACGCTTTGGATAGAGAATTCGACGAGTTTTGGACAAAAGTCAATTGTTTTGCTGTGATGGACTTTCCGTATGACCAAAGATGCGAGTTTGTGAGAAATGCAAATAACTGCGTATATGGCACGAACTTCGTGCCATATATGCATTTATTGGCATGCGATTTCAAATGTAGAAACGTGTTCGAGGAGTACATCTTTGTGACCCTCTTCCTGATTCTTTGTTTCGAGTTGCTGCTTTTCCTGAGCCATGTGGTACGGTTATATTACACTCCGGCGTTGAAGGCAGTTTCTCGAATGCTTCATATGAACGAGCATCTGGCTGGCGTGACGATCATGGCACTTGGCAATACACTACCAGATATGATTGCCAATATGTGTGCTATTTATGACGATGCACCCATCTTTGGCAACTGCCTTTCTTCGGCATTATTTGTAACTATGTTCACTGGGGGATTGGTATGCTATCTCAGTCCATTTCGAATGAGTCCTTATGATACCGTACGCGATCTACTCTTCTTTATCTTTGGCGTGCTTCTCCTTGAGTATGCTATAATCACTGAAGAGTCGATTTCGATCACAGAGTGTATATTAATGATGACGGTGTACGTCATATACTTAATTGTCAACGTGATCGATGTGTATATCATAAATCGGAACCTAAAATGTGAGTATCACGATTTCTGAACAATTTCTGTGCTTGGCTAACATATATTCGCTTTTCGTAGCTTTGAGACGCGAAATCGACGCACTGTACGAATTGCCACAGTCAGATGATGTTAAACAAAAGCGCGAGGCACTGGAAAGCACATACAAATTACTTTCCCAGGATGATCGAGTAACTATATTGCAGCGCAAATCGTATCAAAATGATAATCGAACTTTCAGCTTTTTGACAAAAGTCGGAGGCGAACGTGTCACAATTGACATAAACGCCAATCGCAATATGCATTACACCAGGGCCCCAAGCAAGAATCACCGTCTCTTTCAGGAATTCTTCTCTGCAATCCTGCCCATTAAAATGAATGAATGGCGCCAGGCGACCATGTTACTTCGCGCCTACTATATTGCTCGGGCCCCAGTTGTATTTTTGAGTGTCATTTATATACCCTTGGTAGATTACGAGCTGAAGAAGAATGGCTGGAGTAAGCTGCTCAACTGCATACAAATTTTCCTTAACCCAGCATTTACAATCACAATGGGCAAGGCCATGGTATTCAGAGATAGGTCGATGCTCTGGTATTATAATATACCATATGACTTTAAATACGGGCTTTACTCCTTGGTGGTAACAGTGCCCATAGCCATAGTTGTGTTTTTCCACTCAAACACCAGTGCCCCGCCGCCATATCACTGGATGTTTACAATTATGAATCTTACTGGATCCATGTTTGCGATATTCCAGAGTGCCACCGAAATAACATTGATAACGGGGGTCCTTGGCTTTATGTTAAAAGTTCCTTCTGATTTTATGGGTGCCACGGTTTCATGCCTCGCCCACTCCCTGGGCGATCTTGTAGCAAATGCATCAATGGCTTTGCAGGGGTATGAAAAAATGGCATATGCAGCAGCTATCGGAAGTCCATTCTTTTCCATTCTTCTGGGTACAGGCAGTGTGTTTGCAGCTAAGAAATTGTTAGGCATTAGTACTTCAATGCATAATTTGATTGGATCATATGGGGAAAATGCATTTGTCCTATTGATATTGGGACTCTTATCAACGCTTCTATGGACGTCGGTGTTGAATTTTAATGCCCGTCGCTCGGTGGGGATTTTCTCCATGTCCATCTATGGTCTGTACATCATATTTAGCATTCTTATCAAATCGGAAATAATCCACCCATACAATGTCGATGCTTTTCTCACCTCGTCCCATGCATAGTTAAAAATTATTAGTTGACAAAATAACTTACACTACGCTAACTCAACAATGTAAACAAATATATAATCGAAAGACGGTACAGACTTGAAAATATACCTGTTATTATTTACGACGTGAGACATTTGATTGAAATGAAGTGTTTTTCAAGATGAAGAAGAGGCTCTAGTCAAGAGCTTCCGACTATGGGATACCCTAAACCTAGAAGAGAGTTCAACACCAACTGAAGGTCGCAATATGAGCATCTTTGCTTCAGCAGTAATAAAAAAAAATTTAAAAAAAAACTAGCCGTACAGAAAACAATACAATCGCAATTGCAATGCTGTTGATAGAATTCAAAGCAGAGGCGCTTTAATGTGTGTGTATATGTATACAGAAATTCTTGGAATCTGCGCTAACGACCGCAAACACGTGTGTATTCAAAACACAGTTTTTCGATATCGATTATTATCGATTGCTTGAAAACAGAGTAAGTTATCGAGTATCAGAAGTAAAACTCGATCTGCGCGGGCACCAGGAGAACCTACAGCTAAAAAAGGGTCTAGCTCTTAGAGATTCCGGGATCCTTGCGTTAATACATACGGACGGACAGACAGACTGACAGACGGACATGGGTCGGAGATGCTTCCTTCTGCCTGTTACATACATTTGCACAAATACATTATTTTGGTATTTCTTCAAACAATTGTTTTTCATTTCATGCAGTTAGCAAACAAGTTTGCAAACTTTGCAAAATGTGTCGGATGAAGTTGAACCGAATAAATCATTTGAACAGGACGATGCCGGTTAATTGACTATATTACTTATTTATTAATGGTAGATAAACGATAAAGAAATTTATAGCCTATCCAGCAAGCTATGCCCCTAATTATAGCTAGGATGGTCAGTTAGTTCCCTCAGGTATTCCGAAAGCCACAATTTCAAGTTTTATAAACTAGATCAGGTGCTCTTTTAATTTTATCTCTGTTCTAGGTATGATTTTAAAATTCAATTTTAAACGGAACACAACACATGTTGAAATAAAAACACAGTACAAGTTCACTTACCTAAACACATAAGATAATGGCCAACATGTATAAACCAAACGCTTTGGATAGAGAATTCGACGAGTTTTGGACAAAAGTCAATTGTTTTGCTGTGATGGACTTTCCGTATGACCAAAGATGCGAGTTTGTGAGAAATGCAAATAACTGCGTATATGGCACGAACTTCGTGCCGTATATGCATTTATTGGCATGCGATTTCAAATGTAGAAACGTGTTCGAGGAGCACATCTTTGTGACCCTCTTCCTGATTCTATGTTTCGAATTGCTGCTCTTCCTGACCAACGTGGCGCATTATTATTACACTCCGGCGTTGAAGGTAGTTTCCCGAATGCTTCATATGAACGAGCATCTGGCTGGCGTGACGATCATGGCACTGGGCAACACACTTCCAGATTTGTTTGCCAATATGTGGGCTATTTATGACGACACGGCCGTGTTCGCCAATTGCCTTTCTTCGGCATTATTTGTAACTATGTTCACTGGGGGATTGGTATGCTATATCAGTCCATTTCGAATGAGTGCATATGATACCGTACGCGATCTACTCTTCTTTATGTTTGGCGTGATGCTACTTGAGTATATTATAATCACTGAAGAGTCAGTTACGATCGCTGAGTGCATATTAATGATGACGGTGTACGTCATATACTTAATTGTCAACGTGATCGATGTGTATATCATAAAACGTAACCTAAACTGTGAGTATCATGATTTCTAAACTATTTCTGTGCTGGGCTAACATATATTCGCTTTTCGTAGCTTTGAGACGCGAAATCGCCGAACTGTACGATATGCCACAGTCAGATGATGTTAAACAAAAGCGCGAGGCACTGGAAAGCACATACAAATTACTTTCCCAGGATGATCGAGTAACTATATTGCAGCGCAAATCGTATCAAAATGAAAATCGAACTTTCAGCTTTTTGACAAAAGCCGGAAGCGAACGTGTCACAATTGACATGGAAGCCAATCGCCATATACAATACCTCAGGGCCCCAAACAAGAATCACCGTCTCTTTAGGGAATTCTTCTCTGCAATCCTGCCCATTAAAATGAATGAATGGCGCCAGGCGACCATGTTACTTCGCGCCTACTATATTGCTCGGGCCCCAGTTGTATTTTTGAGTGTCCTTTATATACCCTTGGTAGATTACGAGCTGAAGAAGAATGGCTGGAGTAAGCTGCTCAACTGCATACAAATTTTCCTTAACCCAGCAGTTACAATCACAATGGGTAAGGCCATGGTATTTACAGATAAGTCGAAGCTTTGGTATTATAGTATACCACATGACGTTAAATACGGGCTTTACTCCCTGGTGGTAACGGTGCCCATAGCCATAGCAGTGTTTTTCCACTCAAACACCAGTGCCCCGCCGCCATATCACTGGATGTTTACAATTATGAATCTCACTGGATCCATGTTTGTGATATTCCAGAGTGTCACCGAAATAACATTGATAACGGGGGTTCTTGGCTTTATGTTAAAAGTCCCTCCTGATTTTATGGGTGCCACTGTTTCATGCCTCGCCAACTCCCTGGGCGATCTTGTAGCAAATGCATCAATGGCTTTGCAGGGGTATGAAAAAATGGCATATGCAGCAGCTATCGGAAGTCCATTCTTTACCATTCTTCTGGGTACAGGCAGTGTGTTTGCTGTCAAGATTTTGTTAGGCCTTAGTACTTCAATGACTGATTTGATTGGAACGTATGGCGAAAATGCATTTGTCCTATTGATATTGGGACTCTTATCAACGCTTCTATGGACGTCGGTGTTGAATTTTAATGCCCGTCGGTCGGTGGGGATTTTCTCCATGTCCATCTATGGTCTGTACATCATATATAGCATTCTTATCAGAGCGGAAATAATCCACCCATACAATATGGATGCTTTTCTCATCTCGTCCCATATATAGTTAAAAATTATAAGTCGACAAAATTTAAGTCGCAACAAAATGTATGTATACTGCACTAACTCAACAATGTAAACACATATGTAATCAAAAAAACTAGCTTGAAAATATAGCTGTTATTATTTACGGTGTGTGGCATTTGTTTGATCAAGATTAACAAGAAAGCATGGCTATCTTCGGCACGCCGAAGATCTAATACCCTTGCAGACCCAACCTTTTCATAATGCTCACAGTGCATTGCCCTTATCATTTTTTTTGTTCTAGTTAATGCCGAATTTGGTCAAGATATCCTGATAAAAAAAAAGGTTTTTAATCAAAAAACCTAGTTTTCGACCGATCGTTCCTATGGCAGCAATATGATATAGTGGTCCGATCTTTATAGGATTTTGCATATATATGAGAAGCATAGTAAAACTAATAAATGTTGAGATTGGTTAAGATCTCTTGATAAACAAAAATGTTTTTTATACAAAAACATAATTTTTGACCGATGGCAGCTATATGATACAGTTGTCTGATCCAGAAAGAGGGACTTCGGCAAAGTTTCATAAAGGAAGCTTTAAAACTGAGAGACTAGTTCGCATTGAAACAGACAGGTTATAACGACTCCTCGGGTGTTAATACTGATCAAAAATGTATATACTATATGGGGTCGGACACAAAATTATAATACCCTCTGCCATAGGAACGATCTGTCGAAAACTAGGTTCTTGTATAAAAAACTTTTTTGTTTATCAAGATACCTTGACCAAACTCGGCATTAACTATTTTCCATGTGTTTCTTAAATACGGGTAAAGCACTACGAGCATTATAAAATGGTTGGGTCTGCAAGGGCATTAGATATTCAGCGTGCCGAAGACAGCCTTCCTTGTTTGCTTTCATGCAGTTATTTCTAGCAGCATACGTGTATTCCCCCATTGGTTGAATCTGGGATGGTAACGCTTTCATATATATGCCAAATTAATGTTATCATTGAGAGCAGCCGATTGGCGAAGAAGATGGATGTCAAAAACTTACAATTTAGTTTGTAATCAATTAGTTATAAATAAATTGTGCGAGTGCATAAAAAATGATAAAATCGGACTGAATTACTCATTTGAACATGATTAAAGTTAAAATAAATACAATTCAAGTGCAATATACTCACCTCAATATTAGGGATTATGCCCGAAATATATGAGCCAAACGCTTTGGATAGAGAATTCGACGAGTTTTGGACAAAAGTCAATTGTTTTGCTGTGATGGACTTTCCGTATGACCAAAGATGCGAGTTTGTGAGAAATGCAAATAACTGCATACAGGGCACGAACTTCGTGCCGTATATGCATTTATTGGCATGCGATTTCAAATGTAGAAACGTGTTCCAGGAGCACATCTTTGTGTCCCTCTTCCTGATTCTTTGTTTCGAATTGCTGCTCTTCCTGAGCAACGTGGCGCATTATTATTACACTCCGGCGTTGAAAGTAGTTTCTCGAATGCTTCATATGAACGAGCATCTGGCTGGCGTGACGATCATGGCACTGGGCAACACACTTCCAGATTTGTTTGCCAATATGTGGGCTATTTATGACGACACGGCCGTGTTCGCCAATTGCCTTTCTTCGGCATTATTTGTAACTATGTTCACTGGGGGATTGGTATGCTATATCAGTCCATTTCGAATGAGTGCATATGATACCGTACGCGATCTACTCTTCTTTATGTTTGGCGTGATGCTACTTGAGTATATTATAATCACTGAAGAGTCAGTTACGATCGCTGAGTGCATATTAATGATGACGGTGTACGTCATATACTTAATTGTGAACGTGATCGATGTGTATATCATAAAACGTAACCTAAAATTTGAGTATCGCGTTTTCTGTGAACTGGGACCCGAAAACATGAACTGTAGAAATTGCCACAATCAGAAGATGTTAAAGTAAAGCGCGAGGCACTAGAAAACAAATACAAAATTACAAATTACTTTCCCAGACAAAGTCGGAAACGAACGTGTCACAATTGAGATGGAAGCCAATCGCCATATAACTTACCGCAGGGCTCCAAGCAAGAATCACCGTCTCTTTAGGGAATTCTTCTCTGCAATTCTGCTCATTAAATTAAATGAATGGCGCCAGGCGACCATGTTACTTCGCGCCTTCTATATTGCTCGGGCTCCAGTTGTATTTTTGAGTGTCCTTTATATACCCTTGGTAGATTACGAGCTGAAGAAGAATGGCTGGAGTAAGCTGCTCAACTGCATACAAATTTTCCTTAACCCAGCATTTACAATCACAATGGGCAAGGCCATGGTATTCAGAGATAGGTCGATGCTCTGGTATTATAATATACCATATGACTTTAAATACGGGCTTTACTCCTTGGTGGTAACAGTGCCCATAGCCATAGTTGTGTTTTTCCACTCAAACACCAGTGCCCCGACGCCATATCACTGGATGTTTACAATTATGAAGTTAACTGGATCCATGATTCTGACGTTTCAATGCCTCACCGAAAAATCATTGATCACGGACGTTCTTGGCCATATGTTAAAAGTTTCTGCAGATTTTATGGGTGCCACTGTCAAATTCATCGCCAACTCCCTGTCTATGAGAAAATAGCATATGCAGCCGCCATTGGGAGTCCATTTTTCAATGTGCTTTTGAGCACCGGCATTGTGCTTTCCACCAAGATTTATTAAGGCCATAGCATTGAAATGATTAGTGTGTTTGGATCCTATGAGGAGAATGCATTTATACTATTGATTTCTGGTCTCTTAACCACGCCACTGAGGTCGTCGTTGTTGAATTTTAATGGCCGACGCTCGGTAGGAATTTTCTCCATGGCTATATATACACAATTTTCAGCATTCTTATAAAGATGGAAATGATTCAACCATACGATGTGTATCTTATTCTCACCGATGCCTATGAAAACAATAAGAAATTTTATATTTTTAGTGACAAATTGTTTACGAACAAAATGCAAATTATTTGCGAATTAAATTACATCTATTGCGCAATAAAAATAAGTACGAATTGAAATCAAGTCAAAAAAGTGGCCAGACTGTTGAAATCGAAATAAAAAATGAATAAATGAAGGGGTAACACTGCAAACGCCACAAAAGGCAATAACTGTATATACACTGTTTTACAAATGCAAATAAGTATTTTCAGCAAAGATAATCAATTGTTTTGTTTTTTTTTATATCTTGCATATATTCCTAACAGGCTACTTTTATTCGGCTATTAGTCCGGTCATCTATTGGGCCCTCAACCATAATACGCTACGACAATCGCCCTGTGCGCCTATCATTCGCCTGAGGTCCATGCAAAATTTCCTGCGTTCGCGCTTTCGCTCGCACACCGTGCCGCCGGCTGCCTCGTCGACAAATGAGGCAGCATTGGGGGCCTTCAATCCTAAATTGATAAAGCTAACACCGAAGCAGTATAGAGCTCAGGCTTCTTCGCATTATCTCTACTAGTGTGATACTAAACTAAAACCTTAACATATTTACTTATGACGACACTCGAACCCAAGGCTATCCCCGTTCTAAGAAACTTGATGATTTTTCTCCATAGCTCCTCTTTGCAATTAGTTGGCACAACGTAAAAATACAAAAAAAAAAAATAATAATAATAATACTACAAAAAACAAAATGCAAGCGAAATTATACATAATATACATAAATACATAATACATACATAGTTTATATAGCTACTATACATAGGTAGTTGTTAACGCTTATTTACAACACAATGTTAGTATTCCAAAAGTATTGCAATCCAAACCAACAAAACACATATACGAACTCATTTAGTGACTTGTTTAAAATGTTGTTTAGTCCTTAAGCTGAAACTAAAAGAAATTACATAAATGCATAATAATATTGTACTATGTTCCTTCTCATAGATAAGCAATAAGTAACGCTTTAAGCCAAGTTTAACAAACAAATCAAACTAAACATGATCTAAAACTAAACCAAAAACAATTAAACTAAAAATCAAATACATATTTAGCAAATCTACGTACATATAAGAAACAAGAAAAAAAAGAAAATGTAAAAAAAAAAAATTGTATATAAGTGTGTCGAAAAAGCATTCTTTCTACACTTTTTCTAAAATTTTTAATGTTCATTCAACTGAATACCTTTAGATTGAACACCTGCAAAGTTCAATTTATACGCAATAGAATATATTTCTTACTTTCCAAAAACTGAATGTGTATGTGTGTGTCTCTTATGTAGTACAGTTAATTTTCACTTCCCACTTGGTTCTATGTATTGTCTCTGTCTTTGATGTAATTTTCCATATTATAAAACAAAACAAAAATTTAGTGGTAGATGTTCAATTACGTAGTAGATTGTTTTCATAATTTACAAATTCACTATCGCAATCCGAAACTTAATTATATATATATCTATATATACAAATGTAGAGCGGGCAACTAACGTTAAGTGAAAAGCGCACTTATCAAACTATTTAACTGGGTAACTGTCAGACTTTTGTCTCATAAGCATTTACCTGTTAACTGACTGACGCTGTTAGTTGCGTTAACATTGCATTAACATTTTAAAATTAAACCTAACCTTTCACAGACTCAGCAATAGATAAATGTGTTCTGTTAGCTAATTCTTATTAATTTAAACTATTTGTAGGACTATTATTTTGTACTCAATTTAAATTTCACAAAAAAAAAAACAAACAAACAAGAAACTATAAATGCTATAAATATGCTACTATTTAACAGTTGTTTTGGCCGTCAACACTAATTTAATCGTTTTTCGATTAACGATTAATCATATTCAGATAATTGCAAGTCGTGTGAGTATTTAATACCGCTAACCGCTAACCGGGAAGACAACGGGATGGCAATGGAACTTTGTTGCATTAATTATTCATATGGCAATAAAATAGGTAATTAAATGTGCAAAAATTCCAGATGTTGCATAACATTTGCATATTTTAAATGGGCCTTAAGTGTTTTAAGACCGCGATTTACAGCAGCCAAAACAGTCGATGATCACACCTAGAAGCCAAAGCAAGCAACAAGTTTTAATACAAACAAAAATGTTTTTCAAATATTTAATGCTATGTCTGGTGCTGGTGTTGCAGCTAGCACACTGCATTCCAGCTAGGAAGTAAGTACTAAATTGCTGGGAAATGCAACATATATAAATATATATTAAATACAGATATGAATTCATACCGGCGCGCTGCAATAATTATCCAGGCGTGGAGGCACAAATTGGCGGTCCACTTAGTTTGTGCAGCTTTCCGCCCAAGTATGAGACACCTGATAATGAGGACATACGAGCCGTTATCAAGCACATACAGGGATTAAATTTAAATTAAATGACATATAATTACATTTATTTGTAATTTAGAGAACTTTACACTTTATTTGCATAAACGACGCGCGGTTAAATGAAATCAAATATAATTAGCTATAACATTATTAATTAATTAGTGGCGCGCTTTGTCTGCTGCGCATGCTGCTGCATTCGCTTCTCGATCTCTGGCCTGAAGTGACGAATGAGTCCCTGCACTGGCCAGGCGGCACCGTCGCCCAAAGCGCAAATCGTGTGTCCCTCAATTTGTTTGGATATCTCCCACAGCATATCAATTTCGGCGGGTTGAGCATCGCCCTTGACAAAGCTACAAAAGAAAAACCAACCAACCAACCAACCATCAGCTCAGAAAATAGTTTTTACATTGCAAAAACTCACCGCGTCATAATCTTGTTCATCCAGCCAATGCCCTCGCGGCAGGGCGTGCACTGGCCGCAGCTCTCGTGCTTGTAGAACGAAATCAATCGCGCAATAGCCTTGATCACATCCGTGGACTTGTCCATCACAATAATAGCCGCTGTGCCCAGCGATGTTTGCGCCGCAATCAGGCCATCGAAATCCATAATGACATCATCGCACACCTTTCTTGGTATGATGGGTGTCGAAGAGCCGCCGGGTATGACGCCCAGCAGATTATCCCAGCCGCCAATGACGCCGCCACAGTGACGCTCAATCAGCTCTTTCAATGGAATGGACATCTCCTCCTCCACTGTGCAGGGGTTGTTCACATGTCCAGAGATATTGAACAGCTTCGTGCCAGAGTTACGTGTACGTCCAAAGCTGGCAAACCAGTTACCACCACGACGGCAAATTGTTGGCGCTACCGCAACTGTCTCCACATTAGTCACCGTGGTTGGGCAACCAAAGAGACCCACATCGGCGGGAAATGGCGGCTTCAAGCGTGGCTTGCCCTGTTTGCCCTCTAGGGACTCGATCAGTGCAGTCTCCTCACCGCATATGTAGGCACCAGCGCCGCGATGCATGAATACATCAAAGTTGTAGCCACTGCCGCAAGCATTCTTGCCGATTAGGCCAGCCTGGTAGGCTTCGGCAATGGCCAATTGCATGTTGGAAGCCTCATTGTAGAACTCGCCGCGTATGTAGATATACGCAGCCTGTGCACCCATGGCACGCCCAGCAATTAGACAGCCCTCAACCAGCTTGTGTGGATCATGACGCATGATCTCGCGATCCTTGCACGTGCCTGGTTCGCCTGTCGCAGCAAAAATAATACATTTTTAGCATAGACATTTTTTTTTGAACTGAAGGCTGGACTTACCCTCATCAGCATTGACCACCAAATACTTGGGACGTCCATCGCCAGGCTTATTCATAAAAGACCATTTCATACCGCTAGGGAAACCAGCGCCACCACGTCCACGCAGACCCGAGGTCTTGATCTCATTGATAATCCAGTCGGGGCCTTTTAATACAATCTCCTTGGTCTTGTACCAATCGCCGCGCTTCTGCGCACCCTTCAATCGCCAATCGTGACGTCCATAGAGATTGGTAAAGATGCGATCCTCATCAGCTAATGGTCCGAATTTGGTTTTTGTCTGTGGAGGCGGGGTGCCTGGTGGAGGTGCTTGCGTGCTCTGCAAGCGCAACTGCAGAGAGGCCGGCAGAGCCGCAACTGTAAAAATTGCAATTATAATAAATCAATATGAATATGCAATATGTGCGCCACAGCTTTTGTTTTTATGTGCGCAGAAATTACATAATTTGTTTTCAACTGAAATTTATAACATAGCTTTATATAGCATTGCTGCCAACGTCACGAATTGTCCAATGATATTGTAAGGCATTTAAAAAATAGTCTACAACTAAAACGCTACTGTTTATTTACCAAATTGCGGTTTTGTTAACAAATTAAATCGCACTATTGCAGCCATTTTTGATACGACACGACTGACAGCTGCGACCTGACATATACGCGCAGCGTTGCCACACCGTCGCACCTTAGTGGCAACTGTGCGCCATCTGAGTAAAAGTTATCGATAGGCATCGAGGCTGGAAGGTTGTGCTGCATAAGCCAGCAGCTGATACATTTCCTTGCTTTGTTTATTTTGCAAAATGGCACAAGCTCAACGAATTAATAATGCTGAATGCGCAAAAACGGAGACTTTGGAGGAAACAGATGGCGCACAAAAAACGGAGTCCACACCTACATTGCTGCTGCGCCTAGAACAGCCGCATGAGGAACGCCGGGTCGTCTTCCACGATGGTGTCATAGACAACGAGCATATGAATCGCATGAAATCGAAATGTGAGTACACAACCTAAAACCATATTGTGAAGTAACATATTTAATGTGTTTTAAGGCTGTTGCATATACCGCAAACCGGTGGCCTTTGGCGAAAGCTCGTCGGAAGATGATGACGAATGTGAGCACTGTTTTGGCCACCCCGAAAAGCGCAAGAAGAACAAGAAGCCCACCAGTGGTGACTCATGCCCTGTAAATCAGCGCGCGGATCAGCCATCCACGTCCGCTGAGGCGCAATCTGAGCCAGATCAGGGAACATCGGAATCGGGAATAACCGATCCACTACCAGACTACGAAACGACAGTGAAACCTTCACTTTAAACTATCTCCCGCAACACAAACCCAAAATAAATTCGATTAGGACATAACATTTAAAATAACACGAAACAATTTGCATCTTTTCATTAAAAGCTAACACCAAAATGAGCAGTATATAGATTATACATATACATATATGCATGTATGGACTAAATTGTTGATTGTAACAACTGGGCAGCAACAGGTACACAGGCAGTTGGCCTATTTTTTGGGCTTCAGCTCAAACGATTCGCTCACATTGACAGGAATATTGTACGCCTTGGCCTGTGCACGCGAGCGCCAAACCTAAATAAACAAAACATAATATCAAACAAATTTGTCGTCAGCTTCATTCAACGCACCTTGATGGTATAATCATCGCTGGTGGTGACCAGCATCTGGGAGTCTTTTGGGTTAAATGCCACGCTGTTAACCACATCTGTGTGCTTGAATTTGGCCAAGCTTATGCCATAATAGCGATCCCATAGATATGCATGCTGATCCTCGGCGCCACTGGCCACATACTCCTCGCACACATCCAGAAATATGAAGAAACATTCTGTGCTGGGCGTATATGCTTTGTGGGCGCGCAGCATGTTGCCCACACGCTTCAGTGTCATTAAATCGATCACATGTATATCGATCTCCTGAGCAATTGGCGGCGGCTCCAGCGGATTGGTTATTAAATAGTTCTTGGGCCATGGCCGGGTATTAACATACAGATACCTATGATCCGGGCTCAGTGCCATGCCTATAATATGGCCATGCAGATCAATCACTTTGTCCACCTGATCAAAACGATCCTTCACGGACTCATAGTCCCACCAGTCGGGATCTGTGCGTGGCGATTGCTGCTGCTGTTGGTCTGCTAAACGTTTGGCAGCAATGCGCTCCTTCAGCGTGGGGCCCGGATCCAATTTTTTGGGAAAGTTTACATTGCGTATGCGCTTAAAGCCAATCTGATGTGGCGTAAAGGTCTTCGAGCCAGTCGAAAATATAAGATACTTGGGCACACTGTTCTCCATTTCATCGTATTCGTCATGCACCTCCGAGCAGGACTCGTACTCCTCCTCGGTGTCCTCATAACAGTCATCTAGACCGGCATCGGTCGCTGCTGCAGCTGCTCGCCTATACTCCTCCAGATAGTGTATGGTGGCGTCGGATGTGTGGCCAGGACGTGCACGCGATCGGCGCACCTGACTGTGCTCGCTAATGTCCGGCAAATAGTTATCCTCGGGCGTAGCACTGCGCGTACGTCGCAAACTGGCCGCATGCGATAACGGATTGCCACTGGCCACTGCGGCGGATGTAGAAGGCTGATCACTGCCGCTCGTTGTGGCAGAGCATGCATCTTGCTGTGCCTGTGGCAGCGGGTCGTTGGTTTCGTCCAGCCATGGACACCTGGCCACCATAATGGCGCGAACGGAGCTGGCGTTACGATTGTAGAACTTATACAGCTGGCTCATGATGGGCACATGCTCCGAGTCGATCTCCTGATTGGCTTTATTCAGCCACAGCACCGAGGTGCTAACCAAATGCGCCAGCCAGTGAAGATCCCCCGATAACAGATACTGATCACTGAACCAGGTGCCAAAGATATCATAAGGCCGATTGACAACACGACAGCGCAAGTGAGATTCTGTAGCGCCCAGATAGAAGACAGCTATCTCGCCCGATGTACTCTGAGGTGAGCCAAAATGCACACCCGAGACCAGGAGCAGTGTGTCACTCTGATTAAACTGAGAGTATTGGGTGTACTTCCAGCTAAACTGCTTCATGTTGTGCGCATACTTTTCTACAAGTACAACTGAGGATTAGAGCATTGCTTTGGCAGCTGCAATTGCCTACCTGTACACGGATGTTGTGCGTTCCAGATAATCACATAGCCATCCTTTGAGCAGGTGGCAAACATCTCGCCGTTGTGTGCAAAGCTCACATGCAGCACCTGATGTGTATGTCCATGGTTGTATTCGGTGCACGGCTCCAAGCGCTGGGCCTGTACAAAGGGTATTTGCATGCTGAGGCGCTGATATTCGGCGCGCCAGCTACTGGCGCCTGGCTTAAGCGGTATACTGGGCGAGGCTCTAAAGTGTTCCTGGAACTTCAAACGCCAGAGAAAATCTTCGTTGGCAATGGAGTTCCAACGCCGGCAGACTAGACCTGCCCGAATTAAATCCTGTACATCTAAATAGACAAAGATCTGTAGAAGGGCCGGCTCCGGCAGTGCCCACCAGCCGAACTCAATCGCATCGTGCTCGTTGTCGGCATCGCTGTAATCTTCGCCAACAGCATCTGCAGCCGCAGCTGTGTTTGCCCTAGTCACCAGACGTGCCTTTTTGAAGGTCAATTCCATTTGAGTACCAGTATATTTAGCCGTAGCCTAGTTTCCTACAACTTCAACTGCTGGCTGGTTAATGTTTAATATTTTAAGCGACAGAGGCGTAAAAACGGGTTCTGTTTTTTTTTTCTTTTGCTTTGTCTTTGTTTCTTGTTGTTGTTTTTGCCCAATATAACGTTATAAAAATTGAAAATAACTTTCACTGTTGCGTTTTGTTATTGCACAGTAAGAAACAGCTGTCAACCAGTGTTGCCAGCTACCGCTGCACAAAAATAGCTAAATTCAATGTTAAAAATAGCTAAAATTAGCTGAATTTGTTTTCGACCATAAATTGGCACCAAGCATTACCATTAAGTTGCCAAAATCAACTCAAACACGTTACAAGCCTTAGCTTTTTGCCGCAGTCGATTTTGAATATAAGCTAAGTGTAGCTAGGAAATAGCTGTATTGGCAACACTGCTGTCAGCAGCAAGCGCTCATCTCTAGGTTTGACAGCTGTTTTGTGTTATCGAAATCGAAAATTTAAATCAACAACAATAACAACTGTTTGCGACAATGCCAGCAATATTTCGCTCGCAATGCTTAAAAAGGTGCGCGCTTTCTTACGTGCAATCTTCAATTATATAATTAATGCAATTCATTTATATTTTAGCATATGGCACATGGTACGCCACCACAGCCTAAGGCCAAATCAGAATGCGGTGGTTATTGCTGCCGCAGTGCGTACGCCAAGCACGTTGGAATATACCAAAGAGGATCAGTTGGCTGGCATGGTCATAGATGAGCTGGTGAAGCGCACTTCAGTGCCTCGGGATGAATTCAAGAAGCTAATAGTCTGCACATCTAGCGAGATTGTTAACAACGATTCGCTGCGCAACGTTGCCAAACATCTGGGTCTAAAAAGCTGTCAGGCACACGCCATCCGGAATGAGGCGTGTTCGGTATGCGGACTGCAGATGTCATTGGAATGCCTGCAGAAGGATCAAGACGGCTGGATCATATTAGGCGATACGCGAGCCAACCTTAAACAGCAGGAAAATGATGTAAAGCACAGCGAATTGCTAACGGAAGGTATGCCGCTCAGATATCCTCAAGCGAATCTGCAAGAGAAGCCAGCCTCATCAGAGTGTCCAGGCGCTGCAGCCGTTGCCCTGACCACCGCTCAAACAGCAGAGCGCCTACAATTACAGCCACTGGCGGTGGTGCGCGAATTTTTCATAGAGCACGACAATGAACAGGCAATATATCGGCTAACCGGCGATCAGCCAATCAAATTAAATGACGTACACAGCTGGCAGCTAGTCATAAAAGAGGAGCTGAAGGATCAGTTTGGCGCATTGGCCGCCTTGGACGTCAACGAAGTGTGCACGCATGACTTTAGGCAAATCACTGCTAGCCATTTGTTGACCCACACAGTTCATGCCCTACCCGCTGGCAGTCTGGGCTGCGTCATTATGGAGTCAGGCGATGGACGATGTGTGCTGATGGTGCTTGAGAAAATGTAATTGTGTGTTGCTTGGACAAACTTCAATCTCTAGTCAATTTTTTTTCTTTTTAGCATACCAACGCCCAGTCAAGCTGAAAGCCTGCCACAGCTGACGCTCTACACCAAGGAGCCTTGCCCGCTTTGTGATGAGCTGGTCGACAAGCTGGAAAGAAACTTTTCTGGCGAGTTTGAGCTGCGGAAAGTGTTTATTGATCGCAAGGAGAATGTGCGCTATCTGCGACTCTTCCGCTATGATATACCCGTGCTCTTTCTCAACGGGCAATTCCTCTGCATGCACAGTCTTAATGAGCAGGTGCTGCGCGAACGACTAGACGCCCTAAAGGCCACTGGTAGAGAACATAAGAAAACTTAGCCAGCGCATATAGTTGATTATATGTTGTAGCTCCGTTTATTTTATTAATCAAATTCTAAGTGCAACCTAAAATAGTTCACCCATTGGCTTTATAGTTATTTCGTGTATCTGTAAAGCACAAAGTCAGTTTTTGAGTTAATCCGAAACGTAATCCATTTACCTGTACATGCGGCGGCGTGCGTAATGCATAAAGCACGGCATCGGCTATATTGGCCGGCTCCAGTCGTACCATATCCTTGACATAGAAATGTATTTCCTCTGGAAATATGTTGGTATTGACTGCACCCGGACAAATGCCTGTAACGCGCACCTTGCTCTTGTGCAGCTGAAACTCCTGACGATATGTTTCTGTTATGGCCGTAATGGCAAACTTGGTGGCCGGATATATGTTGAACGATGGCAATACATCAATGAAATTCAGCACCTGCTGCCCCGCAATGCTGTTAATTATCAGCACATGACCCTCTACATCGCGCCTTATCATATTATTAAAGGCTGCCCGTGTGCACCAAATAACGCCCATGATATTGGTGTCTATGACTTCACGCAGCTTTTGCGTATTCCCCGGCGTCACCAGTTCCGTTTCACGTGTAATGCCCGCATTGTTCAGCAGTACGTCCGCACCCTCTAGCTCACGTTCAATCCAGTCGAACGCGCTCTGCACCTGCTCCTCCTTGGACACATCACAGCGTCTTGGTATAAAATTCTGCCGCAAATTGCTGGGCAGACTCTCTTGCAGCTCCTTGAGTTTGGCCTCGCGACGCGCCAGGCCCACCACACGTAAACCAGCGCCTATCATGGCACGAGCACAGGCAGCTCCAATGCCTCCACTGGCGCCCGTGACAACAGCGAGCTTGTTGTGCCAGCGTTCCATGTTTTAAAGCAAATGAATATGTGTGCTTGAGGTATACTCAGTGGTGGTTTATGGCGCAGTTGGACGGCTTCCGTGTGCCGGCATTTTCTATCCCAATCTAGGTTAATCCCTTTAATGGTCTAGATTGTGTTTAGCGTAAATTCGATAACAAATTATGGCGAAATTAGCTACTTTGTAATTATTATACTCTACGTTCAACATCTACGTATTCATAACTTATGCTAATTATTTCTATAGTCTCTATAAAACTAAAATGTGACTTTAGCTCGTGGTTAACCTACGCAAAATAAATTAACATTCGTTATATGCTTACATTTAATGACTACATGCATATTACTAACTTTTATTCATAACATTAATTATTTTTATAATCTCTACAATAGTCTAGACACATAAAGAACAAATCATTTGTTTGTTTGCCAATTTGAACACATTTGTTCCTACCTTTGAACTTAATTATTGACTACAAGCATATTACTAACTTATATTAAATGCTTTTTAATTATTTACATGTACCCTAACACAATTAGATTTAAATAACCTGAATTTCAGTCTATTATCGCTTCAATTGTGCTTTCTCGTATTTAAATAAGATTTCGCTTATTTTTTCCCTTGCCTCTAAGTTGAGATCCGGGTCAAGCTTATCCAAGCATTGACCAACATAGCTACTATAGTAAAAGGACTGCGATTCCTCTCTTTTAGTCAATTGACTTGACACGGTGCCAGTGAATTGATTCACATTGTTCACCATCGTGTGGAGCAAAGTATTTTCCGACGTGTCCGTAAGCTCATTATTCTTTTTGCGTTTCGCCTGAGGTGAGTCCGGTAAAAATTGATGCAAATCATCTAAATTGGCGTTCGATTGACTGCAATCGTTATCCTGAGGTTCTTGGATTGAAGCTTCCACCAAAGCACTGCGATCGCATGATTCCATTTCTGATTCTCCATTTGAGTCAGAAAAGCTGGTTGTCGTATCAAACACCTGAAAAGCCAGGGTAATTTAAATTATGAAATTATAAGCCATATATGTGTGCAATTACCGATTGATCGCTATTGTTGAATGTATTTACAGATATCTGCGGCAAACGGGTACCAATCAAAAAGCTCATTTTTGAGCTATATTTCCAGCCGCCCCCAATATTGTCATCGGCGTCCGAAGTGCCACCGTTATTTTTGACCTTAACGGCCTTGACTTCTGCTTGGAAATACGTACGTAAATTGTTCCATTTCTTAAAACAATCATCTTCAATAAATAGAAAAATATAAGTTAGCTTATTTAAATACAGGCCGTATATATATATGCCAAGTACTTCGTGTGAATGGAGTCCGTGGTCGTAGGGATTTATTTATTTTGTCGGCGGCCTGCTCCCAAAACAGGGCTTTCTTATGCTTCTTCTTGAAATCGGGCACAGAACTGTTCCAAACATAGGCATTGCTCTTAACCAAATCAATTAGATAATTCACTTCTGCTTCTCGCCAATTAACCATTCTTTGTCCTGCAATATTAGAATTAAGTACAATTACATGTTTACTGTTTACTTAGAATGATGTTTTCCAATTTGAACAACTTCCTCTTCCATTAATTTAGCTTACCTCGATGAAATCTGTAAAATATAATATATTGATATAGTTGTTGCTCCCATTGAGGAGTTCACTTAAAATTGAGCTTACGGTTTGGGTTGATGCTGCTTTTGTTGTGTCTGCTCCCAGTGCAATTCCATTTTTTCAATAATATTAAACTCTGACATCTCATCCTGCTCTATTTTGACAAGTCCAATATCAATATCGCTAGCCAGCGGTTGCTTTTTATCGTACGGTACATTGTTGTTCTCCATTTGCTGCCAATTGAAGTTTTCGTTCTATGTTCTCGAGCATTCAATATTTATGTTAATTGCTATTAATAACAACATCAGGATGTGAAATCCGTATGTGATCCTTGTGCCCAGGTATAAAGAGCCAGCAAAGACACCAAAGCCATAACTTTTATACTTTAATCAAACAATATACACGGCTCTGCAATACACAAACAGTTTAGTCTGGCCTGACATGACAACTCGAGTCAAATACCATACGAAAAACAGCTGTAACTGTAAACGAATCGACCGGAATATATTTAAAAGCTGTCATATTTGTCTATCAACACTTATTTGTGGCTTACATGTTGGAATGTAAATTGATATATAAATAAAATAGTTATTTTATGCATTTGAATATACATATATTAATATTCAGCTTTGCAGTAAAAAATATCGTTTCAATATAGGAATCTATCGACCAACCTCCACCATCTACTTATTTATCAAAAATATACGGCGTTTTATCGGCCGACCGCCACCATTTACTTATTTATCGGCCGACCTCCACCATCTAATTATCTATCTACAAACCCCTCAAGTATACGCAGGTGTTTAAATTTTCATAGAATTAGTGCGTAAAACAAATACTTGAATATATTTATAAGCAACAGCCCAAAGCTCAAATACAAAATGGCACAAATGGATATGGAATTGAAGAAGGTAAAGTAAATATACAGGTCAAACTCAACCATGCAACTGCCGGCAGGCAGCGCGTGGTGCCACCAAAGAAAAACACTCATCTTTTTTAACCCAACCCCAAATAGGCCTTCACTGAAATGCAAATTAATAAATTGGAAACCACGAAAAAGATAAACATGATTGACATGAAATGCGACATGGTCAAGACGGGCAAACAGAAATATACGCTAACCGAAAAGAGCACCAGCAATTTGACAGATGACACAAGGTGAGTGTGTCCGTTATAGGCATTAAAAGCTGTGAATGCAAACTCATCAAGATGCGTTTATTCAGGGTCTATATGTCGGTTGGCCGCATGTTTCTGTTGACTGATTTGGACAATATGCGTAGCGAGCTTAAGAGCAAACAGGACAAATGTGATAAGGCCATTGAGTTGCTCGAAAAGAAGAAGGAATTTCTGCAAAAGTCGCTTAAGGATCAAGAGGATGGACTGCGTGAGCTAGTGCAGCAGCGCAAGGAAGCGGATGTACCGGCTAAATAAAATGCATACACAATTACCATTCAAGGCATTTAACAGTCCCCGATGATACGAACAACCATATGCTATTTATTATTTTCAATATAATGGTCAAAATTAAAGTTGGCAAAACTAACAAACTCATTGCCCAAATTACGTTCATGCTCCGGCCGAAAATTGCATTTGTGCAGCGGCAAATTGGCGACTAACCACGGCTCAACCACTTCGCCTGAACAAAATACCAGCTTGGATGCGCTGCTGCGCTGTAAATTAATTATTATCTTCGACATCTTGGTCATGCACTCCTCGGAGAGAAATGGTGGGTCGGCAATTATCAGATCATAGCGTTTATGGTGCTCAACTAGATAGTCCGAGCAGCTGTCCACGGCATTGAAATCATAGTGCACAAAGTCTGTGCCATAGGCAGCGAATCGTTGATCGTACTCAAATATGTTGACTGAAAGTGTACTGGTTATAGAGTCAAGTAATTCTCTGCATTCTTTGGTATTGCATACCCTGTTCGTGCACATCCTTGATAGTTGCATACAGCGATGGACATGATAATAAAGCAATGCGAAAGTCTGAGCTGTTGTGTTCCTTTACAAGTTTGGCTAGTGCATCGCCTATTGCACGTTTGGTACGATCACTGTACCAGAATTGACTAAGTTGCTGAAACAATTCACTAATTTGCAATAAAACCCAATTTTGCGGATTAATCCTTTACCCAATCCTCTTCGAAATGTGCATCTTTGCCTGTTTTGTTTAACATACGCTGCTCTTCGTCATGTTCACGCTTTGAGCGTTCCGCTAGAAATTCATTCAATATAGCTAACGTGTCCGCTGGTAATGTTATGTCATCGTTGTCCATGGCTATGTTTTGATTAATTCTGAATCCATTAATATAAAATAATGCGGCTGGCCTGTTGCTGTATGGCAATGAAATTGAAATGTATGCACACACTGGCATATCACTACCATCTGGCGGTTGAAAACCTGGTATACACTGGTTGGTAATCGATATGCTTTACTGTATCGCATTAGTATATATCGATAGTCATTCAATCGCAAGTTCGTGTCGACACATTTATTTTATTTAATTTAATTTCATACAGTAAAACAACGCTGTGCGTTAGTTGCATTTAAGCGGGTAAGTTTGCTTCAATTTCAAACTACGTACATTAAAAAGGTGTTAGTTCTTAAACATTCGCAAAATGTTTTACAACTGCAGCGTTTGCGGCAGCTTCTGTGCATTAATGTTAGTGAGAAAGTGGCTCCAAATCAAAAAAAAAAAAAGAAAAAAAAAGGCGGCTACAATGGTTAATAACCCAATTTACCCATGATATCCACACGCTGGTGTACACAAGTAAATATTTATTTATGTGTACAAGCAGGCGAGGCATATGCAGGTCGCTGCCTGCCACTAATGCTGCTGCACATTGGCTTTGCCGGCAGTGGCTACGTGTTGCCCAAAAAAAAAAAATAATAATGATATAAAAAGTCGGAAGTAGCCAATTTAAGTGCCGATTTTGTGCGTTTTTAGCGTAGCTATAAATGTAATTAAAGTGCACTTTGGTATAAGCTTTGATTTTGCTCTGTCATGCCCATTTCATACGTGGGGTCTAAAGAGTTCAACAATGCCAATCAGCGCAATCAAATGTCACACAATAAGAGCGCGCACCTTGTTCGCCAATTCTGTGTGTACGGCGGCTGACACTGACGTGTTCCTCGTGGGCCCAGATGTGACGTAATTTGTTTACGCATTATTACCTTAGATTCCATCATGTTCAGCTTGATTTAACCACCAATGTGGCCCAAATACTTTAGTTATTAAATTTCAGCCATTAGTCGACCTTAGTCTAAAATGCGCATATCAAATGAACAATTAATTATCTAGCGCTGAACTCGACCTAGTTTGTATCGAAAGGACATCATTTACCAAAATCAATATTGGTTCTCGGCCCACCAATATGCATACAATATGATTGACCCTAATGACCACCAGCGGCTGTCGATTCACCTATGCATTATCATCAGTGTTGCCTAACTATTTGACGGAAAAAAAAGCTGCTAAAGTTGATGAAGAAAAACGGCCAGATTTTTGAATTCGTAATTACTGAAGGTAATAATAACCTTCGATTGGCGTAACATAGTTTTATTTAACTGTAATGGTTTAAAAATAGCAAGCGATTGATAAAAGAATTTGGGAAAAATCACACTAGTTGGCTTGTTAATATGTTATTTATATTAAATTCAATCGGCGATATTGGCAACACTGTTAATAATTGCAAAATTTTTCCGCCAGTTTTCAAGCTTGTTTCCTGCCCACGTTACGCCGTCGCACTTTTCTTTGCACTCTCATTCTCACTCTCTCTCTCTCGCTCAGCTCTAACGCCCCCTCTCTCTGTACGTTGTGTGTCTGCCACCTGTTTGGGCAATAGTCTGTATGTGTATGCGTGTATGTTTGTTGTTATTTTGACGTGTATGTCGTAACGACATGCACATTGTGGTTACTTTGTCAGTGGTTTGGCATCAGTCTCTCATCAGTCTGTTTTGTTAATCGCTGAAGCTAAGCTGGAAACCCGTAACTTACGGTTCCACAATTGAAGTAATCATAAACATTTTTGTGGATTTCTTTAGAAACTCATTTAATTGTTGTGGCTCGTTAAGCTCATTTTTGATTTCCATAAAAACTTTCATGTACGCCTTTTAAAAAGCATAATAAATACAATTCAATTCTTAAACAATTTCTGCAGAAAGTTGAAGTCGTAAATTTGAAGACAATCTCATTGGTTTATATTTATGTGTGGTTATTAAACTAGTCAAGTTACGTTTGCTTTTTCAATTGACATTTTATTTTTGTGTGCTTTTCTTCTTTTTTTTTTTGTGACTCTTACAAAACTTGGCCATAATTGCAGTAAAAATATCTGCCGCTACATCATACTAAGTTGCCAGACCCGAACATTAACGCCTCTTTGGCAACGCTGTACACGCCTTCGACATTAAGCGTGTCTCTGTGTGTGTGTGCTTGTGTCTGTGTGTGTGTGTGTATGTGCGCTTATGTGTGTCAGTGTGTGTGCAACTTTCCATTCAACTGGTTTTTGTTTTGTTTTTACAACACAATACTTATGTCTATGTAAATAACAATTAAAATCGCGTTTCTTAAAAAAAGTAAAAACCGAGTGCAGCGAGAACAGTTATCTTTTTGGTATACCGAAGAGTGTTATACACGTATAACAGATTATAAGGTTTCTAATCTGAATTTGCTGACTGTGGTGTTATATGGCACTTAAAATCGAAGTAAATAAAATTAAAAAAAAAGCTATAACTGCAAAATAGCATACCTGTGTAGTCGGAATGTCTACCCATGTCTTACATATTTTTTGTCAAAATTTTAAAGCCCTAGGCAAGGGTAAACATAGAGTAGTGTACCTAACATTGATAATGCATATCAGAATCAAGAATAAACTTATTTACATATTTTTCTCAATTTAGAGTCTAGCCAGTTTCTTAGTTAAAAGTCATATTTTTGGAAATATGAATAACATTTTAAAATAATTATCATACTGGTCGGTTCAGTTTGCCTTTTGGATAACTCTCAGTTACTTGTTGAACTGCCCTCGTCTTGGCAACTTTATGTTAACCATTTCTATCATGACAATGCACGTTCTGGCCTATACAAAGCGAAATATTAATTATATTTAATAGATGAGAGCGAAATATTAAAAATAAAAAGAGTAGAATCTGTAACCAGGCGATATACTTCAAGCGTACGTTTTAACGTTATTCTCTTAATTAGATATATTTCTCTATTAAAAAATTCTTTAGTTATTAATATTACCTGCACCAAATACCAGTTGTAGACCAAGTATTTAAAGTTTATCAGGCCAACGATTAGCAAAGTGTTGATAAGAGGCAGCTCTCTGTTTGCATTGTCACAGTGTGATAAGGTTTCTAATGGTATTTATTTGACTTTTTTGATAACCAACTTGCAGACCGGAATATCAGCATAGACCTCTAGAGGAACACTACAAGCATGAGTGCAGCAACTGAACAGCAACAGCCGAGCTTTGACAGCGCCCAGGGCGATGCACAGCCAAGCTCATCCACAACATCCCAGCAGCAACAGCAACAGCAACAACAACAACAACAACAGCAGCAGCAGGAACAGCAGCAGCAGCAGCAGACAACACAAAACGCTACGGCAAGGCTGCTCCAGCATTTTCAAACAAACCGCATCGATTCGGCACTTTGGGCGTTACGTCTGCTAGTTATCTTCTTTACTGTCAGCTATGTGTTGCCCATATTCACGTAAGTACTTAAAAAGTTTGTATAATTTTTGATCAGCTACAAAACTGAGAAATGGGTGAAACATGTGTAGGTTGTATCGGAAGGTCTTTTACATTTGTATTTGCTCAACTACATTCACAAATCCTTATGTGAACACATTACTTTGCCTCAATTGATATTATGAAAATCGCATAGAGGGGCGGCATTGAGCTGAAGAGATATTTGGAAGGTAAAGTCTAAGAGCGAAAGTGAGTGTCTATGTGAGAGTAAACGAGGGAAATTCAGCTAAAACAGACAACATTTCTATACTAGTTGAAAAGAGTTTAGAGATAGCACTTAGAAGCAAATTATAGTGGGAGAGTAAGATAAGAGACAAAAAGAGAGCAAGAGTAAGAGAAAGTGAGACTGTACCAAGGTTAAAGCTCTTGTGAATCGCATAGAAAGGCGTTGTTCAACATAAAAGGGAGAGAAACGAGAGGGAACGTAAGACTAGGACAAGACTTAGAAAAAGCCAGTTTATTAAAAAGATCTTACTCGAAGGTTTTGTGAATCGCATAAAAGGGCATTATGAAAAAATTAATTAAGGATAATCTGTGTGTGCTAGATCTCTTTCACTTTATATGCTTTAAACTTATACAACTACAACAACTAACTAGCTAATCCTCAACTTTATTTTATGTCTTTTTAGCTCACAGCAGAGCGCTTTCAACAAGGTGTTGCTTGCGAATGCGGCCATCTCGGCGCTGCGTTTGCATCAGCGTGTGCCTGCATTCTCGTTCAGCCGCGAATTTCTGTCACGTTTGTTTGCCGAAGACTCGTGTCATTATATGATGTACTCGCTGATCTTCTTTAGTATTCGTCCCACATTGCTGGTGCTCATACCCGTTGCACTCTACTCGGTGCTGCATGCGTCCAGCTATTCGCTCAAGTTGTTGGATGTAAGTCAAATGTTAAGTGTGCTACTTGGACCAGCCTGCTAATACAATTCGTTCTCCCTTTTTAGCTTATTGGCCAAAATTCTTGGTGGACCGCACGTTTTGTCATCTCAATTGTGGAGTATAAGGCGGCCAATATACTGAAGGCCATCGCCTTCTGCGAGATTTTCATTATGCCTTACGCCATTGTGTTGACCTTCATGTGAGTACTATAAACTTTTTATGTATATATGAAAATGGCTGCAAACCAGGATTTGAAACGGTGGGAGCAATAAATATACATATCATATATCACAAATGCTAAGCCGTAAGAGCTAAAAGCTGTGCTTACCATATGTGAAGTAAAACGGAGTATTTGGATAAAAAGTTAGCGGAGAAAGATTTTATGAATATGTTTCTTACCAGCCGATTTTTGGTTTAACGCCCTTCGATGCGAATCACAAAACCTTCAGATTATCTGACGCTTTCCAACTGTTTCCCCGTCTTACTTTCCCCACGCTATCTGTTGATAAAGCCGTTCTATGCGATTCGCAAAACCTTCAAGTAAGGTTAACTCTTTTGTAAAGAACTTTGGATAAATACATTTCAGACGTGAAAATTGGAACGAACTTTTTAAAGTGCATTCAAAGACCTGGTTAAACAACAGAAAAGCTTTCGGAAAACGTTGTGCCGCCACCCAACATATAAACATATTTATATATTATTGCTAATCTTTGGATTTTGCTCTTGTACAGGGCCCATGCTGGTTTGATGACGCCCATTATCTACTACCACTACCTGGTCATGCGCTATAGCTCGCGTCGCAATCCCTATCCGCGCACCGCATTCGCCGAGCTGCGCATCACATTTGAGACGCTGGCCGCTCGGTCGCCCCCAGTCGTTGGCAAGATCATACGCGGCGGCATTGGATTCGTGAATCGCCTGGCACCGCAGCCACAGCCGGCGCCGGCGCAGTAGAGCCCGGACGGCAGCGACAAATATATAAGAACCACAATCAAATTGACAAGCAACCAGCAAAATCATAAGCTAACTAAGTCTATTTTAAATACACACACACTACTGCACACACACACACACACGCACACGCACACATACACAGAGACTCACATCAGTGTTAAGGCTCACATTTTGAATTGTTAACAAAATTTGTGACACCCTCGTTGGAACATAAAATTGATTGGTTTACAGTAGATATTTTGATTGGGCCCTTTTCTTTTACAACTACAAATGATCTACACAATATTTTTTATATTTTAAAATTATTTTTTTTCCAAATTTCAACGTTCGTATTATTAACGTTAATGCAGACAATTAGTTAAAATTTGTTGTTGCTTGCGTCAATGCAAAATTGAACAGAGAGAAGATTATGAAACAATTGACGCTGATTATAAGTATTTATACATATAACATCCAATATATATTTTTTATGAAGCTACAAAGAAAACGAACAGAAAATTGTAATTGAATAAAACAAATGAGCAAGGAAAACAAAAACTGGCAACTAATTAAATTGTTCGCGTCTTATGCTAATCCGATTATCGTTTGTAAACAACAATTAGTTTTAAAATATTTTTATGTAATATATATATATACTGTGAAAAGTGAAAAAGTGTGTGTGTGTGCTTGGGCAGTTATATTAAAGTCTAGTTAGAATGTTTGTTAATTTGCGAACTTAACAAATTATGCAATTTTCGACCTGAAATCGGACAATATACAAGCGCTTACAAATTGGATTAAAATAACGATATCTTTTCAAATTTAACTCAAAATAAGTAAGTTTGAAAAACTTTCAATTTAAAATGTATTCACAAAAACTTAATTATATCTTTTAGACGCCGAGTCAATAGTTTGACAAAGCATGACCAAATTTTTGTGCCCCATTACGATTCATTCACAATATGCCACAAAGTATGCAACAGTTTTTTCTTCAAAATCAACCAAACGGATAATTTTGTCAGAGTTTTGCACCCAACCCATTTGTCATCATCAATCATAAAACATATTTTGTTTATTAGAACGGCGAGGAAATTTATGGAATTCAAATAAAGTATTATGTAAAATGGAAAATTGGAAATATCTGTAAGTAGCTACCCCACAAAAAATTCTATCTAATTTTACATTTGTTGTTATTGTGTTTATTCAGCTTAATGGTTGAATTTTTGAACAATTTTTTGAAAAATAGGGGGTTTCACCTATTTCGATATTCCGCTGGCATGCGTGAAATATAAGGGAAATTCCTAATTGGCAGCCAATCGGATTGGGACTTCAATAACTTGTTTAATAGAAGTCTTGTTGATTTCAAATATGGCTAAAAACTATTTCAAGAGTGCTCCAGTCGATTCTGAACGACTAGGAGATACCCTATAACCAGCGTTGACAGTAAAACTGTGCACAATGCTGTTAGCTATGCAAATATGTGAAAAGCTGATCAAGTGAGAACAAAAGCAGGTCAAAATTTGCCGGTAAATATTTTATGTACAACAAAAAGCCAACAGCTTTATCCTGTATGTCTCACTCTAAGCGCAAAAGGAAAACGGGAAAACTCGTTGCATACGTAAATTAACCAATTTGACAACAAAATGTGCGTGTGTGTGTGTGTGTGGAAGCATTTCAACCACCAAGCGGCCAGCATATCTCATCTAATGTGGGGTAGACATTGGGCTCCATTTGCGAGAACTTCAACAAATGAATTTTGCTTCCGAATTTCCAAACAAGTTCAATGAACTTCGGCGCAGCCAATGCTTTTCTTGTGCTGCGCCAAAAGGAACAAATGAAAAGAAGAGACAAGGAAAACCAGAACTTTTCTAGCGTGGAGATTTGTGGGGCGAGGGGGTTGGTTAGCGCAAGACTCACTTTCGTTTTTGGTGAGTGTGCGGGGAAATTTGTTAGTCCATTGCGTTGAGGGGGAGGTGGCAGGCGCCATTCAACAGTGAGACAGGCCACAACCACTCCCCCTTCGCCGACCCCACCTACGCGCGGGAGGGGCGGTGTCGATGTATCTGCGCGCTGACGCTTTCATGGGGTTCTTGAACTTTCCCTTTTTATTTGGCCAGATTCGCGGCGTTTGTTTTCTTTTGGCTCTTCGGAGCAGCGCACATTGTACAAATACATAAAAATATATCTAGCTATATATTTATATTGACACTCAAGAATTTTTGAATGAAGCTTATATTACATTGAATTTTTGATCGCTTTCAGCTGCTGCATTCGAGTTTGATGTCTTGCTTTTTTGTTTTTTTTTTTTCGAACAGCTTGATTTGTGGCTTCCCTTGAAGATTGTTAAACATTTTTTTCAATTATGAGCCCATTCAAATTCTAGAGTTCTCGAACCATATTAGGCTGTAGCGGTATCTTGTTTTAAAGCACATTTTTAGAGGGTATTATAGTTTTGTCAAAAAATGTCGAAAAAACATATTCGAGCCCATAAAGTCCATATGTCGAGACTGGCTGGATCGAACTACGATATCATATAGCTACCATAGGAACGTTCGATCGTAGAGTAGGTTCTTGTATGAAAACCTCTTTTGTGTATCAAGATATGTTGTTCTTGAACTAGTTAAACTATGCTGCTTATATATTGGCCATACTATATGGCAGAATCGGACGAAAAGTGATTACTTATATGGAAAAATAGTCTGTATTCCAAGTTATTTTTATTAAACTAAGCATTTACCAGTTTCGCTCTGCTCACATATCTTCAAACCCGTCAGGGAAATGTTCATAAGGGTATTAAAAGTTCGGCATCTTTAATATAAGCACAATTAAAGCTAAATTTTCTTAGCTTCTTATTAGCTTATAATTAAAGTTTATCTCTTGTTACGAACAGCTCGAAAGGCTTTCAATAGCAGAAACATAGATATTATCTGAATCGTTGGACTTGCATTATATATACATATATATTATTCTTAATAAAACCTGCCCTATAGAGATAGTCCAAATTGTATGTATATTATGTTAATCAAATGAAACAACAAATTACAATTCATCAAATTAACAGAGTTCGCTTGAATATGGGTCAAGCTAAGCCATGTAACAGAAATCCAATTGGACAAGTACTTTATTTTTGACTGTGGAGTAGGGTTGGCTTGATAAGGCCGGTGGGGGTGGGGGGGAAGTCTGTCCGCTTGTCAGCTAGCAACCACCATGATATGATAGCTTACCAATGCACAGCTTGGCACACGCATTAAATGGAAGACAACGCGAGCTGATTATGCATTTCCACCCTGGGGTATCCACAGGCAAACAAGCCTATAAGTGACATCATGAACGCCCGGCCAGCCACCCACACAACCAGAAAACAGTTGCAGTTGCTGTAAAAACAATATATATACACACACATAAATATATATATATATATGTATGTATGTATAAATATGTATTAAATTGGATACAGAAAGTAAAAGGCATAAGCCCCCATGATTTTTGGGTCCGGACGCTCGCTCGCGCCGCCCAGAAAAGGTCTTTGAACTCAGCGCCCCGTAAATGGGTCATTGAAGAATTTTTGTTTTTCCCAAAATTTTCCCGGGTGTCCATTATGTTTTGGTGGTGGCACGAACTGTGCTGTTCCGTTACGTTCGTCTGCGTTGCGCCGCAAAACAAAATCAATTTCAATTGCATTGCGTAGTCGCTTGGAGTTTGCGCATTTCAAACAGCTGTTTGAAGGGAAATTTTCTATTTAATCCCATTTGAGTGTGTTTCATGCGCAAGTTTGGATTGGTTTGGATTGATTTGAGCTTGGCAATTGTTAAGTGCTAATACGCAAATAAAACTATCTGTTATTATTATTCAAAATAATCATTTTATGCACTTATTTTACAAATTTCATAGAAGCGATTTATTTATTGTATTTATAGAACTCATTTTTGAGTCAAATGCATATTTTATGCTTGAGTTTTTGATGTTAACAAAATCAAATAAAAAAAAATAAATTATTATGTAAAAAAGGAAATTTTAGTTAATTACGTTTTTAATTAATTTCTAACTAGATAGGAATATCAAAAGTTATTAATTGTTTATTTGGCTTCTTGATTTGTTTTCCTAAATTTTAAATTCCTACATTAAATTGTAGCAATAGCAATTTTCTAGTATTATTCAATATCATAATATTACTCAATAAACGCTTAAGACAAACAAAAAAAAAAAGAACTCAACGGCAGCAACAAATTACCCACATAAATGCAACGCGCTCAAAGCGTTTCAAATTTCCCACACCCCACCCCAAAGAAAAAAGGTACTCGAAGTGACAACAAAATGACTCACAAATTGGCCTGCATAAATTACACTCAAACGACTCGCACTCAAATGTGATAAAACACTCAGCGTAAATTTCCCACCAATTGGACTTTAATGTGCATGACATAACTGCCGGCTGAGCATTGTTGTTGCTTGTGCGTGAGCGAGAGAGTGCGTGAGCGAGAGAGTGCGTGAGCGAGAGAGTGCGTGCGTGTGCGTCTGTGCTTGTATGTGTGTGCCTGTGCGTGTCGCTGTCTTCGTCTGTTTGTTGTACACAAGTGCAGTTCTCTGTGTGGGCCAGTGACCTCAAGTAACGGTATCCATAGTATTAGATAAGTTCGTGGACATGTGCGGGGCCATTTCTCGTGGCTCGTTGCTCTCTGCTCTTTTTTTTTTTTTTTTATGTTATGCTCTTTGTTCTTTTCGGGTTTTCTAATTCTATTCAATTTTTTTGGTACCACAGCCATAAATCGGGGGGCGTAGACAACAATATATTGTTGGGGCCCTGCGTTGATCATTTTGGAAGCTTTCTCATCCGCATGTTCGTTAATATCGTTGTGGGTGTAACTACATACATATATGTATGTGTGTGTCTATATGATATCTCTTTATGCGGGGGGGGGAGGAGGCTGCACTTGAGTCTTGCATTAGATTTCAGTTCCCAATTGGTAATTTATGGCGAATCATGTAAAGCACTAAAAATTTGTTTGGAATAGCCAGAGGAAATGCCTGGTAATTTATAGACTAGTATTTATTGGATTAACTAACAGAGGAGTTGAGTAGTTTAAAGCTTGGAACTAGTTAAAAATATGCAGTTAAAAGTGCATTTGATTTGACAGGCAGCGTTCTGTTTATTTTAAGTTTAATTTGACAATCGAATTAAGTTCATGTTAGGCTGCTATATAATAAATGCATCAGCTTAGCTGCTGTCAATAATATGCATTTCATTTGACAAGCAGTTATAAATACTTTTGTAATTAAATGCTATTTATTTTGAGTGTAATTTGACATTAGAATTAAGTTCTAGCTAGACTGCTATTTACTATTTATCATGTAAGTTGCTGACAAGAAGTGCATTTGTTTTGACAAGCAATTCGAAAACGCTCCGTTTATTTAAGCTGTAATTTGACATTAGAATTAAGTTCTAGTTAGGCTGTTGACGTATTAAATTGCAAAAAAAAGTGAGCCAGAATGAGAGAAGTTTCTCTGAGCTCATTTCACAATATAGTTAAGTCCCTGCTATATATAACGGAGAGTTAAAATTTTGACAACAAGCTTAAGGGTTAATCTATAGCGAAACACTTTACACGTCTAATGTGTATTAGACAATCCGACAACTAATTGAAGTATCTATTAGACATTAAATAGATAGAAAAAACAACTGCTCCCATTTAACAGGAAGTTAAACAGAAGTTAAATCTTTTGCTCCATGCTCAAGCCAGCTGTCGTAAACCCATTTATATGTGCCACAATGCAAACCTAGCCGGCCGGTGTATGCTTCGAGAAAAGT